CGTACACCTGAATAGATCAATGAAAAATCAGCTGCTGCTAACAATGCATATGATGAATCTGTTACTTGAATATACTAAAAATACATTCGACATATAGGGGACATTTCCAACTTACCCTGACTAAGATGTGGACTGGAAAGTGGAAGTGCCAGCAGTGATGAAGGTGTATCATTCTCTTTACTTGGAATAGTCTTGGATTTTTGTGGATTCATAGGTGGGCCTTGGAAATTGGAAGGAAAATGATTTATTATTATTTTTAGGATTATTCTAGAGATTCAGTGTTAATATTATCAGACAAATTCGTTATTACTATTAGTATTTTTTATTTTTATTTTCAACAAAATTTGTTGCAAGTCCCTGCAAGAACTTGCAACTGGTCATCGCCCGAGGGCCTTCAGCGAAATATTTACATATTTTTGTACATAATGGTTTATACTGATAGAAAAGAAGAAAAAAAAAACATTTCTGTGTTCATTTTTCCCGAATGAGGATAGAAAAAGTAAAGATAATTTTTACGAAAGTGAGTATGTTACTATTAGTATTTTTGAAATATAATATAATCTCACCAGTAATAGGTAGTGATCTCGATGGATTGAAGTCTCGTGGAGGTAGAGGGAAATTCGCTCGTTTCGTTTTATGGAAAGATGACTTCTGTTTGTTGTCTAAATGAGACATGGTTTACCAACAATCGAACAACTGTGACAAATGGCGAAAAGTTGAAGAAGCACCCCAACAAATCTAATTATCAGAATGGATAATGGGTAACACATAACCCACATCAATCCAAGGTATTGCAAGACCTTTTCCAACAATTAGTCGGATTGGTATCGTGATACAGTCTACAGTTAATTGATCTATTTTGAATATTCCCATAAGTTTCGAATCGCAAGGGTAATAATCAATGCCTCCAATGTCCAGTAACTTGTGACCGCGAATTACAGGTACTGACCCCTGATAACAAATGTCTTTGATGAAGATTATGCTACCATCCTCTAAATAACAACAATTATTGGGAACTTTATCAGTTAGAAAAAAATTTGAGAATTCAATCGCAGAATAAGCCTCACGATATCCAACGGGGAGTTCTTTTTTGTTTTCAGCTTTTAGACGGATTTTTTTTTCTGACACTCTTACCATAGGTTTTTCATTTTGCATTCTTTCAATAACGCGTTTCATTATTTGTGGTAAAGGGAGATACCCTGTTTTCAATGATAATTTGATTGAGTTTAAGTAATTTTCAAAGCAAAAAGTGCTAAATGAGTCGAGAGGGCCATACAGCAATGCAGAACGCGCGAGATATGTATCAAGTTATGAACATTGAATACTATATGTCTATCCCCATATAAAACTCTCATTGTTTTGACGAATTAAACTAAAAGCTGATGAGCATAATTGTTGTTTCTCCGATATTCTTTCGGATCACATAAGATCCTTATTGCGCAATTTAAAGCATTAAAATGCATTAAATGAGCCTCAGGCAGACAACTCTGGAGAAAAATGGGGCCTAAGTATAACAGAAACAAACAAAATTCTGTCGCCTTCCACTGACCAACGGCATCCAAACTACGAGGTTTTCTTGCAAAATCACATGTGATACCTGAGGCTAATGAACAATACAATTCATTAATAATGTTAAATGAATGTACAGACTTTTTCCAGTGGCAAATCCAGATTTTCAGTAACCTTTTCATTACTCCCAAGTAAACAAGGTGCATTGAGTCTAGGGGAAACTGATTCGTCATACTTATGCCAATATCTTCCAATGGTGATACAGAATTAACATATTTCTGGGGGATCCCGGATCGGAATGTTTCATCAGTTCTTGTGGGAGAGTCGATTTCGAGAACCCCTCTACGGTTATTTATAGTTAATCCTTCTTGTATACAATCTGCACATCGACTGTTATGTGGTGGAAAACATCGACAAAAATTTCTAGCCGGGGTATCTGCTAAGATAGCTCTTATTTCTAAGGTGAAACGCCTATTCTTAACATTGAAGCCCTCATTTTTCAATATCATGTATTCGGTCATCAATTCTGAGAAAAACTCGGTAACATTGGACGGCTTACCCGTACCATAATAGATTGCAATGACGAATGGTTGTATTAAAGGTGTATTCAACAATTTACCCAGAATTGGCCAGAATTCTATCTTTGAACTTTTCGAAACACTCATGCCATCTACGTGCAGATATATCTCTAAATTCTGAGGCAATAATAAAATGTTTATGTGCGAGAATAAATCCGTCAATGCTTTTTTCAATCCATAATACGAGAAAGTACCATCGCTTAATGTTTGACAATCGATTTTTCTGGGAGTTTTCAATAGTGTTCTAGCCGTTAACGGTACATCTCTACGACCGTCTAAACGAAGACCGTGCAATAACGTATCTGTAGCATTATGATCCACGCGGTATTTTAAATGCCACTCTTGCAAAAATGAGGGAAAATGAAATTCAGATATTTCATGAGATGAATCTGGATATTCACATTCGTCACTATCACTGTCATCATAATTATAATTATCCTCCATAAAATTAATATCTCCAATGCAATCGTTCCGAATCTCAGTTAGATTATAATGACAATTTAATTTTGGTCGATAATTCATCTCATAGACACCAGTAGTTTCACTATTAATATCATTACAGTAAGTTAGCTTTTGGGACGGAGTGATTAAAATATTATTATGGCAACATTTTTCGATGGTATGATTTGCGTTATTTCGTTCTTGAGAATTTAGGTAATCTCGTCGTAATATAATATTATTTGGATGATTGTCTAATAGAATTTGCATTTGTCTGAGATCATTATTCGTCATCATTTGAATTCATCGCAATTGTTGACGACGAGACAGTTCATTGAAGGGCTTGACTTTACGCAATTGTACCATGACAATTACGACAATGCATGTTGTTATGATTGTTCCAATAATCACCATACAACTCAACAAAGTATTGATAAACATTGTTGACCAGTGGAATAAAACTCATTTAGCTAATAAGAATAACTTACATTGTTGTAGAGATACTCGTCGGATTAACGATGATAATTGATTAATCAGCNTAATCTATCGTTTCGCATCGTTACAACTTCAACTCATTTTTTGTGTCCGCCGGTCTATTCTAGTATTGTCTAGCTAAAATACCGTGACAAATAACTTTTTACATTCACACCCTTTTCGCGAGTTAATACTAAGTTTACAGTCCATATTTGTATTTTTTTATCAAAGAATAATATTAAGTGTATTTTTAAAAATTGTGAAAATATAGGGAAAATTAATTTAAAGTGATTTGTGTTAGTTTTTTTGTGTTTATACCATTATTGCCTAATAGACATTTCTAACGGTTTGTGTTAATCATCATTTTTTACCAAACCATAACACAGCCTGTCTCTGAACGAAATGGTCGATTCTCGTTTTTGTGTTTTTCTCCTACAAATAGATAAACTTATTATAGAGCTTGATTATTGAAAAGAATTGTAATTCAACGAGTATAAATAATGATGATTTACTTACAAGTGTAATAATTCAACGTTGTTTAAGGAAAGTGACAAAATCAGAGTAATGCACAGCAGTAAATCAAGAAGGCGAATGACGCAGTTTTCCAGCTTCGCGAAGAGTTCGGGGTCCGGACAAATGAGTCTAGAAGTTATCACAAAAAAGTATCTATCAGCTGACTTTCTGTTTACCAAAACATTGGTTACCACTATAGTTACCTCTAGTTAGTGGCCAATGAACACCTTTGGAATGATAACAAAAAGGCATCCGGATGATAGATATATTCGGGAACATAAAGTTCACTTGCAGATGCAATGTCGTTACTATCTATCCGGATTCCTCAGGATATGGACAATGGTTAGGTACCGAAAGCACGGTTACCTCTTGGATGTCATGCACCATGATCACTGTCAGTTATCCTTGTGAATTTTATCGAACAGTTATCATGTAAATCGTTACCCATTAAATGTTGGAAAATAAGGTACCATCATGTAGTAGTGCCCGACAGATATCTTTGGGGAAACTCCTTACAGATGTAGCGAAAACTCAACATACAATTGGTATCTTTTCGATGTCAGGAAAACGATATCTAGACAACACATCATAATTGATAACTTTTAGTCAATCACTAGTCATGTCGAATCGATATCCACTGAAAGTCATCTTCTAGAGAACATTGTGGTTGCTGTCAGTTATCAAACTGGCGCCTTTTTTGCGTTATCCACAAGTTACCCAGATAAAGATAGCTTGCAGATGAATCGCAGTCAAGTGTGCTACTTGGGAACAACCGGGCTATATACTGGATCGCCAGACGAAACTCGAATTTCCCTTAACTCTCCAGCAATTGTTCTGTTCACCCTAACTCTAACTAAATATGGAAAATATAAAGAGATGTACCATCAATGATCTAATCATGGAACTCTTAAAAAACGAGATCCATTTATGCAATCCTATTGTTTTCAACAACTTAGAAGTATTGTTGAGTGGATATTTCTGGCTTCAAAGAAAATATACAGCCCAGAGTTTCCATTTAACTTCGTTCATCACAGCAAATATATAGGGCCTACATGGATTTTTGGCTAAATGTAATATTGATTCCATAATCGGGTCACTGACGGTAACTGACTTACTCTTCTGAGATTATAAAGCCGCCGAGAATTAAAATACTCCTAGAGACTTAAACTTTCTTTTCGCTGCCATTATAATCAGTAAGTAATTTTGCATTGCCCCCCAATCTTCGTAATTGCTTTCCGTTCTGTAATCGTAAGAGCGTGTCTTTTAAAAAATCGTCCTTTTGAATTCACCACAGCTTTGAAGTACATGTAACAAACCTATTGTTTATATAATTCTCTGATAGTTATTCAGTCGAATGAGTCGAAACTATCAGTTCTTTATTGAACGTTTGATGTTGTCGGAGAAAAAAATTCTGCGACAGTTTGATAATTAGTTCAGTGAAATTTCAAGGACATGCGTAACTGTAGGGTTAAAAATGTTAATCTTTGGTTCGCGCAGGAATCATTCACAATATTTTATTTGAAGATTACAAAACTAATGATAATTTGTATGGGTACTAGAAGATGTACTGAGTTATGTAACAAATACTCTGTTCCTCCCAGGTTGATGACCGATGAATGGCTTGTATTTTGTAAAATGGTCCTTATTCCCTTCAAGGATTCAGGTTCAGTTTCATAGCCTCCTGACGAATGACTGATATCAATTCTTGGTTTATTAAAAATATAAATCTCAAACCAGCAACCTACAATAAAGAAAAATAGTTCGAACTATTACAATGAATTACGGAATAAAAATCAATCAATTAATGCTTACTATAGATGAAACCAACCTCAATTACACTATTATTATTAAGTTTCATTTTATTTCCAGCGAGGATGGGTCTGCTGTCGACAAAAATTGGACGCTTTCCCTCTGAAGACAGGAAGAAATCTCCATTATTCCTCAATCGAATTGTTGCTTGTCGTCGTGATACTTTCCAGGCGGGGCCTTCCAGCGTTAAATCGACATCAACATTGTGATCCTTTGTCGACCTACCCACAGTGATTTCTTTGGATCTCATGAGATACCTCACGAGTCTTCCCCTGAGTACAGCCAGCGTTTGATTATCAAAGTCCGGGGGATTGACACCTGTGACACTGTCAACAAGAACCTGCCATCTGCCCAGTTCATTCTCTAATATCCTGATTTCTCTTTTATTTTTTCTATCTGCCATAGCCAACTCAGCGTCGATCATCTCGTCCTTTTGATCGGCCAATTCACTATCGTTTATCATGTCTTCAGCATCGGAAAAGCTCATAATTGCATCAGAACGCGGCAAAGGCTGGACACTTTGATCAGGGAGTAAGTGATACTGTTTCATCAATAGCCAATGGGCCATCAAGGCTTTGGCTGTTCTCGCTGGGTAAAATGTCTGGGCATTTGTCTCCAAAAGCCTTTGGAAAATCTCCAATGTTGGTTGAGGTGCCTAAAATAACATGAAAAAGAAAACAAGTGGGAAATTGCTCTTGTATTGTATATAGAATAGTTATTTTTGGCAATAAATTCGCAATATGCTTTCGAATGGTTATTTTACATATCATTTCCTTCTATCATGTATAATTCATTGTTCATTTCATTTTATTAAATTGAATAAGATTTCTTTTCAACTAATTTTATCAGATTTCCAACTTAAATGAAAGTTATAATCATCATTATTCTTATTATTTTTTCTTTCTTCTATACGACCAATTGTCTTTTTCACAGCTCTATCTCTCCCCTCAGCTCTTCGATAATATTTTAATAGAAAAATGTTATTTATACATAATTGAATGAATTTGAAACATTCATTTATTCATGGGTTGATTTGAAAAATCAAATCAACCAAGATAGCTATCGTAATCATCTTTCAACTTCGACTTAATTGCATTAAAATAAACATTTTAAACTATGATTGAATTCATTTGAAGCGTGATATTCAAAGATATCCCCGGAATTCTGATTTTCAAAAAATACAATTGTTTTTTAAATTTTGGTAAATCAAAATAACGATTATTGCTATCGCTTTCATCTTTAAACTCGGTCAAAGGAACATCCAAACTAGCTTTTTAAGCCATCATTCAATCGATTCAGAACATTTTTTTTAGTTATAAAAAATAAATTAAAAAAACTAATGAATGAATTAAATTTTAATTAATGGCAGTTGATAGGGCTCAACAATGTGTACATTTGAAAAAAAAGACTTAAGTCCATCCATTTATTAGTGAACAATTGAAGAAAAACTTTACCACACACATACGTACGTACGTTTTTGGATCATAACGGGTCAATATAACACAAAAAATGCAAAACTTAAATTTGAACGATTATAATGCTTCCATTCGAAAGCAACAAGCAATAATATAATTCATCTACAAACAAAAAGGAAAAAAAAATTTAACGTTGAAGTGTGGAGCCCAACGACTCCATTTTCTACTAAGTGGTGATTATCGCAAAATTATTAGTGTGTAATTTTAAGGGAAGCAGTTAGAAGTGCCGATACATTGTTTTCCTATACAGCGTGAAAAACGTTATTTCTGGCAAATGAATATTTATTTAAGAAAAGTATGGCATTTTTTGAAGATACAATTTTCCTGTCCAGCTATTTCCACCATAGAATAATTATGTAGAACAATTGTTAACGTTACAAATTATTGGAAATTTCATTAATTAACGAAAAAGTGGGTAATCATTGAGAGAGTAAATTCAAAGCCGTATGCTTGAATTTTATGATTAATCATAGGAGTGGGTGGGGCAATATGGACACCAGATTTAAATAATGAGTTGAATTGGATTAAATCTACTCTTCTGACTTCATTTGAAGTTTATAAAAATGAACACATTGTCATAAGACTGCATCGTAGGACATGGATACAATGGACACTTCGATTTCTTCCTCAATTTTTTATGTTTCAACAATGTTACTCAATTTCTGAAACATTGGTCATGACTGCGATTTTTAAATTGAAAAAAAAAAAACTCATTTTTGATTTTTATCGTGGGGGGTGGTAAACTAAATTTTTCTTTGCTCATTTATCCTCCCCTCTTTCTGTTGTTTTATAGTGATTTTCGTTGTAAGTAGAAAAGTAGCCATCTTACAAATTTCACAAATGGACAAAAAGTCATTTGTGTAGGGCGTGCAATTGTTCATTGAAACGAATAAATAATTTCAAAGTTATTTCAATAGTAAAACAGGAAATCCAAAGCTACTCTATATTTCAAACTTCAATGCAAAATTTAATGAGTTGAAGTTTATTTGTTGATATCCCTTCCAACTCCAATTTCTCTCTATAAAAAGATACCGACACGATTCTGCTGCAAAATGTGTGTTGAAAATTTCTTCATTGAAAGTTAAATACATAGGATCAACTTTTTCGGCTGTCCATTTTACCCCACTCTTGAATAATTTTTCGATTGTGAACTTTGGCACGAAGCAATTCAAAAAAATTCGAATATTAAAAATTTTAGGAAATTTTTTTGAGCGTCCATTTTAATCCATCCTATATGGATTTATCAGGTGTCCAAATTGCCCAATGACGGAAAATTTCGCAATTGTTTTTGAGTGTCCATTTTGCCCCACCCTCCCCTAATTGCAATTCATGAAACCTGACCGGGAAATAATTGATATTCTTGTCTCAAACAAATAGTTATTTGCATCGATGAGTAGAATTTGGTTACCGATTTTATCGTCCCCAGAAGATCTTCCTCAGCCTTACTGTACAGAGTTCTTGCTTGAACACTGGCAATCAATTCAGGATGTAAATTTCTCATTGCCTGAACTGCAACCCTCGAAACAGCAGAGTCATAAAGCAAAGCGTACCACCTCTGCTGAATCTCCTGCAGAGTAAATCGACAGGAGAATTTGGTGCCTCTGTGCACCATTTTCAGGTCATTTGTCTGCTGGACCCCAGTGATGAGAGCCAAATCGTCGGTGGGTTTCCATCTGCCCAGGTCCTTAGTTGCATTAATAGAGTGATTGTGATTTTTGTTCTTCTTACTTTTTCGTCCAGTTCCGTTGGAGCCACTGGGCCTTGGAGGTCTTCTATTAATTCTGTCGGGTTGGATCACTGGTGGTGCGATGGGAATAGGCGGGGGGATCTGTGGTAACACCAAGCCGTCTAAAGTCCCACTCGATGCAGACATACTCCTCGACTTTGAATTCGATTTCCCACTCGTCGTTGGTGGCTGGAGGTTAAAGGTTGTCTCTACGAGTTCATCGTCGAATTTTTTACGTTTTATTGTTCGTGATGAACTGGAAATTGCCAGTAGAGTATTAAAAATATGTGACACGACAAAGTCTTATGTTTGGTAATGATTGAGAACATTGATAAGTGATGATGAATGAGACGATATACATATTATCTGCGGAGCACGTCTAAAAAACTTCGTTAAAAAGTGGGTTAAATTCAACTTGGGAAAGTGAACTTTTGGTTAATTGAACTTTTGTCAAATTGAATTTCCGCCAATAAAACCGTTCGGTTATCCCGTCTTTTGTAAGAATATAGGTAACATCTGTGTTTGTGTTTGGAATTTCAGAGTGTTGGTTCCTTGAGAAAGGAAGCAAACAATCGTAATCGTTTAAATTTAAGTTTCAAATTTTTAGGGTAACTAAATATGGTCCAGAAAGTCCGAATACGCGATTTTTAGGTGTCTATATGTATGTTCTATGTATGTAGGTATGTATGTGTGTGGACTTTTTTCAATTTTCTTTTCGCAATTTTCTTCATACGTTAAAAGTTTAAAAGGTTTTTTCAAGTTTTGTGAAATTCAGGTTGTTTGGTTTTTTTTCTTCAAGTTTTTTTTATGTTGTAGTTTGACCAAGTTGTTTTGACGAAGTTTTTTCAACGAAAGGTTTTTAGATATGGACCCATTACCTGCGCCTTTTGGTCCCCATTGAGTCCATCGACGACGATTCCATCGGAATATTTCCAAATCCATCATTACTAAGCGATAAATTTGCCTGCTTTAAGCTAGATGTCGACGAAATATCCATTATTATTGTCAATTGTTGGTTGGGTTAAAGAATATCTCACAAGTATAAACACAATGACTTTGAAATAGAGGTTAGGAAATCCATTCACAATTTCGTAGAAGAAACACTTGAGTTAGATGTTTCGTACTGAACAAATAAAAATTATCACTATTGAAAGGATTGACATGGTTTAAGCCTTTTAACAAATTCTCCACTCAAATTCCTAGCAACAAATTGCTAATAATGAAGAGGTATGTTTCTGCGACCAAAACATAAACTTTTCTACAGTTTTCATTAAAGCGCGTATATACATATGCGCAAAGGAGATGACGAGTTTATGGAGGAGTGGGAGTCAAGGAGCGTGAATTCAAAGTGTCGAAATTCCTGCCATAAAATTTACTTTCTGCTTTCGAGCTCGATGAAGTCTCCAGCAAAACTTGCTGGTTTAAGTGTTGAAGATTTGGAGCTTGTACAATTGACAAATAGATTTAGATTGGTAGAAAAATTACTATTAAATTAGCAGGCGGTACATGACATTAAGATTAAAAGGCAAAATTACTACAAATGACAGTTTTTTGGGTTCTGATCGATCTAGTTATATCGTCGCCATATAGCCAAAGGGGCGTAAGTGCCATCATTTCGATTTTTTTTTCTTCAAAGCCAAAGGAGCCTCTGTTTTTTTAATCGTGAAATTGAATTTACCGACTTTTTCCAACGTTTTTCACCAATTAATTTTGATAATGATAAATGGAAGTATCTCCAAATAATGAGAACAAAAGGGGCATGTCTCCAGGACATACGCCCCTTTACTTTTAGTCTCTTCGTTCATATTTCAGTCGATTTAGAGAATGAGTAATGGCAAAGAGACGTAAGGCCAAATAGAATCAAAGGGGGCGTATCGCCAGAACATGCGCTTCGTTAATTATAGTCTCTTGATTGATATCCTCGTTCACTTGAAGCATAAACAATGACAGCGGGGCATATCTTCAATTTGTAGGTTCTTGTTTCTTCTGCTTGTTGTTATTTATTTCGCAATTACACTAAGGATAATGACTATTCTCTCATTTTCTCGAGCATTTCTAAAATTAATCAAAAGTAGAGAGAGTGCGGCCAAATGGGCCATAAGGGCAAAGTGGCCTCTTCCAAGGTGTATGACTAAAAATCGCAAACAGAAGTCAGTGTGGAGTTACGCAACTTTGTCTTTGAAAATTGGTAATTACGCCCCTTTGGTAGGGCATTTTTTGTTAATACATTTTTGTTCAGAAATTTGACGAAAAGTCGAAAAACCATTGAAACGAGAAAAAACGCCGACGTATATTGATATATGATATTTGGTTACACTGTTATAATATAGAAAAAAATGAAATGTCATGAACAGTTGACTACTAATTTTCAGGACAGTGACATTGTATAAAATTTAGGGGGAAAAAAATATGAAATTTCAGGTTTCTCTGAAAATGTAGTAAAATTGCAGAATTTTAAGCAGCAGAAAGACGAGAATACCTTAATTTATTTGAATTTCCAATCTAATATGAATATTCAGTGCCAAATTACATTGAATTTTCAGTGAAATCTGAATTTTCATAATTTTTTTTTCTCTGTAAATAGCATTCAGTGTCATTTTCCTGAAAATTCAAGAATATATTTACCGGAATTTTCTGGTTTTCTATTCATTTTCAGGGAAAAATGGAACTTAAATAGGCAGTTCTCTTTGATTTTTGCATAAAATTCTGAATTTTCAATGACGAAATTTCTTGAAATTTCATTGGTAATAATCGATAAAAATCGCCAAAAAGTGTACCGGAAATTTCAGACAAAAATATTTAACGTTATATACGCGTGACGATATGGTTTTGAGTTAGTTGGAACCGTCATTTAGAGAGTATTTATGACCATGTTAATGGTCATTGAGCTCCCTCAAAGACGGTCATTAGAAGGGTCACATAATGCCTTCGCATCTCTAATCAAGATGTTACAAGTGAGGGATTCATTCACGATAAATGGAATTATTTACGGAAAAGCAAAATTCCATACAACACAATAAAAATAACAAGATTTAGGCAGGTAGAGAGATTATTTAGGATCTTTACTGCAGCGCCTTGCTCTATTTACAGTTTTTCATTCTTTCATTAACTTCTTCAATTTGAAAGGTCATTTCGACGGAATTGTGACGATGGCGGATAATTCTGGTTGCGATACGGAGAATTTGTTGTGAGACAACATCTGCTTCTGCAGGAAACATGCAAAGCCATTGTATTAATCATTGTTGTTTGAGAATAATAAAAAAAATAATAATAATTTCTGATAGCGAGATGATCAGAGAGCGCTGTTTGATTCAGTGATAAGGCCCAAATTCGATCGATTACTTTGAAGTAAATGATTGAAGCAGCAACAAGAATACTTTGTACAAAATCGCCTAAAAGATGGATGTGAGCTGCACAGACATTTATATTTTCATTATTTTTGTTTTTCAACATTATGATTAGATAGACCATCACCATAGCTGTGGCCATGCTGATGGAGTGAAGCCCATTTTAGAAAACAACATATGTAGATTTTCAAACTCACCACAGATGAAGATTTGAAAGAAAAATTTCGGGAAAAGCCATTTTAGGAATTACTATATGTTAAAAAGTAATTTCCAAAAATGGTGATTGGAAAAGATCTGGAAAACAATTGTCATAGTTATAAATCATATAGAAAATGATAGTCCACGTATGGACAAAACGGTCCAGCCACGGATTTTCATGATCATTTCATGACTTTTGGTGGGCATTTGGTAAGCATTTCGGAAATGTCTATAGCCAGGCGGAGAATTTTCCTGACAATTGGCCCTCAATTTGATTTTGAAGAGTTAGCCTTTACAGTTAGACCCTTCAGAGTTGGCCTTTATATTTACTATTTTTTTGACCTTATATTTGATTTTATATTTTGATCCTTATGTATTGACCCTCACATTTTGGTCCTGATATATTGATCCTTACATTTTGACCCTGATATTTTGGCCTTTATATTTTGTCCCTTATATTCAGATTTTCATGTTCTGACCCTTTACGGTTTGACTGTTATACTTTGACACTCATATCTTGACCCAGAGGTCTGAGACTTATTTCCAACCCTTATTTCAAACCCGTATTTCTGATACTCATTTTAGCCTTCATTCCTGATCGCGGCAGTGATTTTTTTACCGATTTTTTCTAAAATAATTGCAAGGACAAATGTAAAAACATTCCAAATGTAGGAATGAATAAAAAAAATTTAATCGGTCGGGAAGGTATTCGTTCGCTCCTTAATGGGTTACACCCAATTCCATCAAAATATGCAAGGATCAAAACATAAAGTCAAATGAACCGACGGCCGTGACTGTGTGGTTAGAGTGTGGGATTGGCACGCGGGGGACCCGGGTTCGCTTCCCGGCTGAGTCGCTAAATTTTACGACATTCTCAACCTCACAGTTTCATTGTCGAGCGAAGAGTCTCGTAAAAGAGACGACTGTACTTGTGCAGGTTTTTCTCTCAGGTGAGGTTTTTCCTCGTCCTTCGACGAATGCGGTGCAGGGAACCCGAGAGGGAATACAAAAGAGAAGAAAAATATAAAGTCAAATATAAGGTAAAAATAATATCAATATATAAGGGCCAACTCTAAGGGGTCTAACTAAAGGCTATCACTTAAGGGTCAAACTGAGGGCCAATTCTCAGGAATCAAACCGGGGGTCCAATATTATCCCACCCCTTGGCAGTGGACACGTCCCAAATGTCCACCAAAAGCCATTAAATGACCAAGAAAATCCGTGGCTTGGCCGTGGTTTTGTCCATACGTGAGAGCCCAACTCTGCAGAAATGTGTATCGTTCCACTTCGCCCCATTCTCCTGCATCATTAAACATTTTCTCCGGAATTTTGCTGATTTGTACGACATTCTGATGCATTTCATCTATTTTGTTACTGTTGTGTTCAATTACCGAATTTATAACTGATACTGTAAACTCTCCAACATGGAATATCTTAGGCAGGGTTCGGCATCTGTCGATTGTCGGTTTGTCATTGCAAAAAAAACCGTAATTTACGTAATAAATGTAAAAAATGTAAAAAAACCAGCCGACGTTACCTTTTATCGTAAAACGTGAAGCTTCGCGAAGATTGTACCTCGCGAGGGTGATAAAAGTCACGAGGTTCATACCTCGCGAGGATCAAACGTCTCGAGAGTCGCACCTCGTATACCATACCGTGTAGGTCATACCGTGTAAGGGATGAATTTTAAAAGGGTCAATCTCATTATCTATTGATCTCTATTGAATTCATCGCGTCATCATCTTTTGTCTTGACATTAACTTGTTTCATTAAGCATTCTTAAATGACGAAACTAATTCAATTGTCTTTGGTAGCTTTTTTGGACTCTTCCGAACAAAATGTTTCTTTTCAGAGCCAACTGGACTTTTCCGGGGGTCCAAATAATAAAGTGAAGAAATAATCATTAGATAATGAGATTGACTTTCTCACAATGGAGATGACTAGTGACTTTGGTCTTTTGTAACGTTTGACTCTCGTGAAGTTTACTCTTTATGAGGTATGAGGCTCATATTTTTGAGTTTTTTTAAGTACCGTAAATCGTACCATGTAATGTAATAGTATATTATGTCACCAGGCGATGAAAGTATTTCCTGAGGATCTCAATCACATGAGTCAGAAAATTGTTTAATCGCCATGTGACATGCAATATTTTATGTCTCTGGGCCCGGAAACTGGGATTTAACCGAGGGAATCGAAATTAGAATCGTGGTTTTACGGTCGTAGGGACATAAAAATATTAGGGATTTAATGTTAGGGATTTTAATAGTACATTAGAGTACAAGGGCACAAATTTCGTTTTCAACGAATGTGTAGTTTACAGGCCGAGCCGAAGGCGAGGTCCCTACACTGAGAGAAAAAATTATTCCTGCCAAGGATTGATATTCTCGTCAGAAGATAATATTTTTTCAGAACGAATTTTTCCAGGACAGTCATTTTCAGAGAGTCCAAGTCTATCCTCAAAAATTACAGTGATATTGAACAATCTGATTATTATGCTACATATGACCTTGACAAAATGTTCTCCGATATCTTCCGGATTTTACAAATTGGCGATTTTCTCAGGTAAAGAAAATTGGAATAATTCCAAATGTTAATAATTATTATTGGAGTTTCTTCGAGGTCATATGCAGAAGAATATTCTTATAGATCACCATAATTCTCACGCTTGGAACTGATTTCGGAGCACCTGGAAATGACTGGCCTGGAGAAATACTTTCCAAAAGAGATATTTTCGTCTACTAAGAGTATGAAAAAGATATCACCAATAACATTTTCTTGGAAGGAATACATTTTTTTCTCAGTGATACACATATTCGTTGAAAACGAAATTTATTACCGAGTGCTCTATAATATTTTATGTCAAGTCGTGCAGAACTGCGCGAAGCGCAGCGTGCGATAAACTCGACTTATTGCACGGCGCGACATAAAATAATATTCCCGGCTGGGTGAAGCGGAAATTTTTTCTCTCTAAATTCTAATTCTCTTAGAATTCTTTAATGACTAAAGGAGGTTAGGCGGTGTATGAGGTGAATTTGAGAGTGAATTTCTGTGGTTTCCGGTAGCATAGTCGGTAAGAGTCCCCGGTGCGTATCTGGAAGACCCGGGTTCGATTCCCGGCTGGGTGAAGTGGAAATTTTTTCTCTCTAAATTCTAATTCTCTCTTAAGTAGCGAGAACCGTGTTCTAACCGAACAAAGTGAAATTAAAATTCGCGGTTTATCTGTCCTCAGGATATAATGTGAACTATTTTTTATGATATTTATGTGCTTAATACTGCGTCTCCGTCAATGGGAATAAAATAAAACATTCTAGTAACCGAAAATTGCAAGCGTTTCGAAAGTAATATAAAAAATGTAAAGAATCCGTCGAGGTAATTTACGTAAATTACGTTGGTAAATTACACCGTTTTTTACCGCCGTAATTTATTTAAATTATTAATAATTTACACGTCCAACCCTGATACTAGGAAACATAAAATTTCAATAAGGAATGTCGTCCCACCAATCCCCCTGGCACCCGCGGTCCTAAAAAAATATTCCAAGTGAGAGAAGAAAAATATTCCTAGTTAGAAAATATTCCAAGTGAGAGCATTCTATTTTGGGGAGTTTACTGTAGTTAACATTTCACCATTTGAATTTATGCGCCTTTTTGGTTGACGGTGCGAAGATATTGGGCGCGTTTCGCAATCGACTTAGTAGCAGTAGCAGTACTGTAACCCTATTTAATTTCGCTTTACTGCAGCTACAGTAGTTGATTCCGAAACGCACCCATTGAAAACTCATCCGTATGGGTACTTGTGGAGGGGAGAACACGGTGCTGGTGTTTCATATTCTTCTTGGAGTACCCTGAATTTTCTATCAACAACCTCAAAATTCACGGTAACTCCGATTCAACAATTTGAATAGAGTTTACAGCAACGAAATAAACTGTTGGCACACGCTTGGAAAAAAATTTCGGAGTGAACAAGGTAAATTTTACAGAAATTAAGTACATTACACTGAATTGTACTTGACTACTGTGAAAGGTCTGAAAGCGTGAAACCGTCTCGGCAAGCTTTTTAATGGTTTCATACGTTAATATGGGTCTACATGTGATGATGATGATCTTGGTACATGCAGACCAATCCATTCAGCCAGTTAACCAGTGAAAATTGGTTAGAAACGACTTTGAGGAACTAGTGAACGCACAGATGGCTGTGCCATATGCTTTAGGGGTTAGAGAACCCTTGAAACTTGAGGGCAAATTCTGTTAACTATCCTTTGAAAACGCACTCACTTAGTAGACAACTAAAACAATTTTGTTGTTTTATAGAATGGCCCGTGGACATCAGAAAATTCAATCACAAGCGAAGGCAGCTGAGAAGGCAAGCAAGTTGAAGAAACAACAGGGTCACAGTGCCAATGAGCAGAAGAAAGCTGCACAGAAAGCCCTGGTTCATGTTTGTGCTGTTTGCAAAGTATGTACCCGAATTTATAGGGGAGGGTGGGGCAATATGGACACCAGATTTAAATCAGTAGTGAAGTGGTTAATCGCTTTAAATCGACTGAGCTCCCAGTTGAGTTTTTGTTGAATAACTCGGAATTTAAGAAAGCGAAATTTTTGAAAGATCCTTTTCGATAGTCTTCACTTTTCTCTACAAAAAAGATTTTTAGGTAAATTTTGCTAACTCCTTTAGAATGGAGATATTGGTCGAGAACTGGCGTTAGAATGGAATTGAATTAAACCGTTTGACCACTTGACTACTAAGTTGAATCGGATCAAATCTACTGTTCCGACATCATTTGAAATTGATTTTTATAAAAACGAACACATTGTACGGTAAAGCGAAAACGGGGTAAAATGGACACTTCGAATTCTTCTTCAATTTTTTATGTTTCAACAATGTTACTCAATTTTTGAAACACTAGTCATGACTGCGATTTTCAAATTGAAAAAAAAAAATTATCTTACAAATTTCGCAAGTGGACAAAAGGTCAGTTGTATAGGGCGTGTAACTGATCATTGAAAAAAAAAAATAATTTCAAAGGTATTTCAATAGTAAAACAGGACATCCAAAGCAAAGCTGCTCTATCCTTCAAACTTCAATGCAAAATTCAATAGAGTTGAAGTTTATTTGTTACACTCTCTTCGAATTCTAATTTCTCTCTATAAAAAGATACCGATACGATTCCATATTGATGTCAAATTACGCGTGAAAGTACCACGAATCGAATAACCACAGTTTAATATGAGAATTCAGCGTTTGAAACTATCAAAAACCTTAATTACAAGTCCACAAATTTTGCACTGTAAAGAGCTCAAAACTTCGTTACGTGTTTTTTCATATTTAAAGTGGTAAATAAAGTGAAATTTTTCCGACAATCACATCCTAGCATCAAATTCTTCATGATCAGGAACAGAAAGAAATTTTCAAGTTGATGGTTGTGGAGAAAATCGGGTGAGCGGTATTACCCACTGAGCGGTACAGGCACACCCTCTCCTAGACGAAAATTGACCGTTTTGTGGGAATATGAAAAGAATTATTTTTTCATATTTGAGTATTTTCTTTCTGCATGTGGAATAAGATTTTTTATCAAACAACACTTGAAGAAACAATACTAATTGAATATTGATATTTCAGGCTCAGATGCCAGATCCAAAGACGTATAAACAGCACTTCGAGAACAAACATCCGAAAAATGATATGCCCGAGGATTTGAAGAATATATGAAGGTGAAAATTCATCTGGTCTCGAGCGAGCAGACAACAGGGAAAAGTGGCAAGATAACGTGAAGAAAGAAAAACATAAACAAATAAACGATTAAATTAATTGACAAAAGTAAATGAATGTTGAGAAAGGAACGAAACGTAAACAAACGTTAATAATACGAGTGATATATAGTGTAACGTTTTATCCGGCTAATTTCAATCGCATTGATTCATCGCAGAAATAAATTGAAATCCACTTTAACATTTTTTAATATTTTTTCGCTTCAAATTGCAATGTATGCACTTACCACTGTTATTGAATGCACATGAATCAATTTATTAATTATTAGTGATTATTCAGTGATAATGAGTGCTTAGAATTATTGATGAATGTTCATTGAAAAAGCGTAGGCATTAAAAAGCATTACTCCCTGTTCTTTTTCTGTTTCAGTCAATTCTTGAATTATTTGTAATAGTTTATGTTCGATTTGTTCTAGAATCAATGACTGCCAATACCAACTAAATTATAATCTATGTTATCTAGGAGGAAAGAAAAGAAAAATGTTGAAAATTTCAATATTAATATGGCTACCCTTGACATTATCATTATTTTTTTCTTCGAATTATGAAAAAGTGAATTAAGGGACTCGTTATTAAGATAGAGTTGATTCAGTAACAATGTAAACAATTCATAAGTATTTATAGATAATCACTCGCTCATAATGAATTTATATTGAATTTTTCCGTCGAAATGTTCCAATTGTACTTAATACTTGGTCTTCATTGAGGAAACATTTAAAATCCTTGAAATAATAATTTGTACATGCACGAAGTGTTGGTTGGATATTTCTATGATGCTTCATGATACCTGCGGCAGTCCTTAATGAATATTCTATTAGAGTAATCATAAATGTTTAGTATCTTCAGATTGGAGTGGAGGGGGAATGGTAAATTGGTGAATTTTAAAAATTGTATGGCTATTTCGGTAACTATTGAACGTCTTTCAAAACATGATGACAACCATTCCAAAACCGATTGTGCCATAAAAAAGTCATTTTTTTCACTCACTCAATGGACACATCGTCATTGCGTCACTGATCCGTGTGAGAATGATTTGGCAGATGATGTAATATAAATGAATGTGTTTTTATATCACTACTACCCTACACTGAGAGAAAAACGACCGAGTGCGTAAACAAGTCTTGCTTGTGCCAAGAAAATAGTACTTTGAAAATTATCAAAAAAATATTTTTTGTGCCAAAAATGCAAAGAGTACGCGGAGATGGAAAATTTTCGTTGCAAAAATAAATTTAGTAGTTCAAAAAAAAATTATGCTCTGTACAGGCAAGACATGTCACTTCCAGTATTACTCTTTCGTTATTCGATACTCCCATACGTATTTTGCGTATGAAAAATGTTTGTTTTATGCGAACCAAGGGATGGTATTTTTTCGTTTCGGCTAGCGAATAATCACAGACAATAAATGAACCCTCAAAGGAAACAATAATAATGATATGATAACAATCTTGTAACTTAGGGACAAAATATTTATTGATGAATTTTCCTCTATATGAGATTTTTTTATCCTGAAAATGCCAGTGTGTGTCGTGTACTGTTTCGTGTGAATTATCCGCCTCTTGAGTCAAATCTTCTGTTGTTGTCGAAATTAGAGCAATTATTCATGCTTGAGACTTTCAAATTCGAATCAAACAAATTCTTTTTTGGTAATTTTCAACTAACGATTTTGTTGGCCCCAACAAGACATGTTTTAGAACGTGTATCGCTTCATAGCGAATTGTCATATGCTTGTAGCAGGGATAGGGTGTGTGGTATATGTCGCAGTTCATTTAGATAAATTATTATTGACAATATGATTTTTTAATCAATAATGAGTGTTATTAACTTCCCGATCTGTCGGGTACTTATTGTAATGACCCCGAAAACCGAATGTGGAAATGTCACGATATCTTCACGTTTCATGACTCCTCGAATCATTTTCTGATGTTTTCCAAGTATGTGTGTGCGTGTGTGTTTGTGTGTGTGAATGCATGTATGTAATCAAAATTTTGTCCAACGATTTCTCTTGAACAAATGATGCAATTCCATTTTTTTCTGCTATCGAAGCGTTCTAATGACATGTGGCACTGATTAGATTTTGAACCCGATCCCCTCAGCAGTTTTCTAGTTATTCAGTTGAAACTCGAAAAAACAACAGGAAAGATTACATTTTTTTTCACTTAACTGATGATTATTTCTGTAGGCATGGTGCGATTTGAATTGTTCTCCGTGTAGTGATGAATTTTCCATGACGTAAAATGGATTTTTAGCGATTCCGGCTTTTTCCGATTACTTGATGCAAAATAAAACTTTTGGGACTTTTCATTTCTTGCTTTTTTTCTCTAATGTATGAACAAAAGATGAAAATTGATCGGAAAGTTGTTGATTCAACCCGTAATGGTCACACCCACCCCCTACCAGTCAGGTCTTTGATTTGCTAGTGATATTATTCATGTCCAGACTTAACAAGATTAGCGTCATTGTTTGTGAGGGATACCATGGAATCTGCAGAGTATAATTGAAACAAAAACTGAATTATTCCGGAGTGCCTTCCTTTTGTACTTCGAGATAAGATCGACTTTTTTAACCCAGCCCGTTTGTTTCCAAGATATTGTAGATTGCTATTTATCAAAAACTGTTAACGCTCAAGAAATTTTCAATTCTTCCTTGAATTGAAAAATAGTTATTGTCTTCATTTTGATAGAAATTTTGATCTACCAACTCAAGTTGATTATTCAAAAATGAAAGACAAAATATACCAAATCACGGATGAAAAAGGCTAATAGAAAAGTCAAAGGAATTTGATTTTTCTATACAACGTATTCTATTGAGATATTTTCTATAGAATTTCCTCGGCTCTAATTTTCCAAGTTTTTCATTCTATTTTTTTTCCTCTCATCAAGAAAATCAAACACAAAAATTTAGAAAAGTTGAGCCGATAAAATTCTGTCGAAAATATCTGTAGGGAATAAGTTACATGGAAAAATCGAAGTTTATTGACTGTTTTTATTGAATATTTTCTATTGAACAATTCAATAGAATCAGCCAAAAACTAATAGAAAGTTCCATAGAAATTCAATAGAATTTTCCAACGAATTCGTTAGGTTTTTCTATGAAATTTTTTCGTGCGTGACAGTAGACGCTAGCATGACATCTGCATGATTTCCGTAATACCTGGAATTTTTCTTGACCATTGGATTCGGTACAATCTTTTCCATTGCCCTATATTTTTATGTTTATTTTTGGTGTCTTTCGGTAAGTGAATTATCAATTGGAAAATAAAGCCGGTAAGCGCCTGTGTATAAATAGTATATTTCAGCACGTGTGGGGCAATTTCGTCTTAAACGTGTGTGGGGTTTACAGCATGAGCCGAAGGCGAGTGATGTAACCACACACGTTAAGGACGAAATTTCCCAACAAGTACTGAACGAAATTTTTTGTCATTCCGGCCGTGAGGCAGCGCTTCACGGACGCTCCGCTCCGCGTCCGTGAATCTCTGCCTACGGCCGTCATAACAAAATAGTATATTTCGTCACTAGGCCGAAAGAAACTTTTCTGGCGAATATGAGTTTGCAGCCCGAGCCGAAGGCGAGGGCTGCAATCATATGAGCTAGAAAAGTTTTTTTTGGCCATATGACGAACAGTATTTTTTGTCATTCCGGCCGTGAGGCAGCGCTTCAGAAAAGTTTCTTTCGGCCTAGTGACGAAATATACTATTATGTCACGAAGCCTGAAACCGGCTGAATTAGACACGAGACGCGAAGCGTCGAGTGTGTAATCCAGCCGGTTTCAGGCATGAGTGGCATAAAAAGTATTTGTTTACTAGAGAGTATGGCCCCCTGTTCGCTTCGCACCCCCTCCCCGCCCCCCGTGGGACCATGCGGATATGACCATGGAGGTTTCTTCAACAGTTTTATTATTCAAATTTGACCGTGAATGCATAGGGAGATGCACATTTATTAATAAAACGTGAATCAAAAGGGACGATAAAACATAAGAGTACAAAAATATTAATGTTATTGAAAAAACGAAAAAAAAACAGAGAAAAAAAATCAATCAGGTAAACCTGTTAAAGGCAACAAAAATAGCAGTTTTGAAAGTATGATGGTGGTACCCATATATGAGGAGGTCCTAATATATGGCCCGACCCTGAGCCGACATTGGCCCGACCCTGGGCTGACATTACCACCTTAGCGCCGCCTGAATTTTTGGACTTTTTTTTCTCATATACAGAGATAATTTCATTTAAGCATTAATAACCCGGAACCAACTTTGTACAAATCCACTATCTTTTTACTATTCTAGAGAAATATGTATCATCTTCAAATCGAGATAGACTTTATCGGATTTACTTCAACTTTCCCAGGCAAGGTCCATTTTATCTTGCTCGTTGCCATAGATATACATATTACATCATGTGATATATATGTTCTGTTTGTAAGAGCATAATAGTATCTTCTGTTCATATGGAATGTCAAAGGTCACTGTGACAATGAAAGAGACTGTCCTATTATTATAAGAAAAATTACAACTCCGTGCATTCTTCTTCTCTTTCGTCCCAATAAGGAAAGCAATATGACGTTTGACCATATGGAGAAACCGAGAAACTAGCCCGTTAAATTTTCAGATATGACGAATACGAAATAGATACTGCAAATCATTTCGGTGAATAGAGAAATCTGTTTTTTTTTTCTTCATGTCATTAATGAAACCACCTTTTCGTGTGTAGTCATACGAAATAATAATTATCTTCCGCCTAAAAGCCTCGAAGATGTTGATAGTATTTGCCGCTCGTTTCTTATCAACCGCTTCGTTCACGATAAGGGATTACCTATACAAGGAAAAGAATTTCATCATATAACGCCGTTCATCCATCTATTTTCATAATACCAATGACTCGATCATTTGTCTCTGCTCGTATAAATAGGTGGGGAATAAGTGAAACTACCAGTTTCGAGCGAGCTCTCCGGGTCATTGTGTAAGATAATTTTTTAATTTTCCTCCACGTTCTGTGCCTTCGTTTGCTGTGCTCTCATTGGAGTTCTTAAGTAACAACGTGGCACAACACGTAAAGTAAGAATAGTTCTCTCGAAGGCTTCCTCGTTTCCGAATTCAGAAGTTTGAAGAATAAAACTTATTATATCTTTCGAAGGAAAAATTTTTTCTTTTCTTGGTGGAACTTCTTCATATTTTTGTTACTCACAAACATTTCTTGGAAGTTAGTAATTTCAAGAAAAAACGTGGAAGAACTCTTCATGCAGTGTAATAAATTCCATGTGAAAACGGTTCCGTAGCTATCTTAATCATCATCGTTAAGATGATACAATAATGAGCATACTTATTATTTCGCTTCAAAATAATGCAAGATATAAAATAATTGACACACGAGATTGCCCAATTTGCTTTGACTCTTTCGACCTTTTCCAATTGCTAAGTGATTTTGCTACACTATTAGATTTTTTTTTAATTTCATGGAAAATATGATATTAATTCTCATAAGAGTAACATTGAATCGCATTTAGGGGGAAAACGGTTATGAAATTTCTAGTTTTGGGTAGAATTCAAGGAAATTCATGAGTTTTAAGTGGGAGTGAGATGGAAATTTCACAGCTTTATTAAATTTTCAGTGGAACATAAATATTCTGGCACAAAATGACATGAATTTTCCACTTTTCTCTGAATTTTCCTGATTTTTTAAAATTTCCATCGAATAATTAAACTGAAAAATCAAATATTTTATTAATTTTTAGATCGTTTGAGCAGAAAATCAATGGAATATTTGATTTTTCAATGACAATATTTCTGGAAATTTCACGATAACAATTTCTGGAATTTGACCCGGAAAATTGAAACAAAAATTGTTAACAGTGTAGAAACTGATATTTGTTAACAATTTTTGTAGAAACTCAAACATTTTTGTTCATTTCAGATTTTACGGAAATTACTTCTTGATTAAAGATTTCATCATTCAAAGACAAACATGAATGACGAAGTTTTCGTTACACGCTCACGAGGAGCAGCTGCCGAGGGAGTGAAGGACCAATATGCAGATGGGAAAGCTGCGAGGGTCTGGAGTATGTACATCGGTGACAAGAAAAAGCGAACACAGAATTACAAAGATTTTCTTGTCGGAATTTTAAGGGAAAGAGGATGCAAGAGGATACTTGATGTTGCTTGTGGTACGGGGGTTGACTCTGTGATGCTTTTAGAGGAGGGGTTCGAGGTCGTCAGCGTCGATGCCTCCGACAAGATGTTGAAATATGCGCTAAAATCGAGATGGGAACGGAGAAAAGAACGTGCATTCGACAATTGGGGTAATTCAGGGTTTTTCTATTGTATTCTTTTTACAAATGTAATCATCTCGGCAATGAGTGATAAGGGAAATCATGGGCTGACCTAGTTGGTAGAGAATTTTCACTTTATTAAAAAGTTGTGGACTTGATGTTTCGCTTCACTATTGAGATATAGGGGAGGGTGGCGTAATATGGACATCTGGGGTAAAATGGCCACTTAAAAAATATGCGCAATTTTTTTTTTCAAAATTCAAATTTTTGAAAATTATTTCATTGGGCAATATGGGGTGCGTTTCGGAATCAACTACTGTAGCTGCAGTAAAGCGAAATTAGATAGGGTTACAGTACTGCTACTGCTACTAAGTCGATTGCGAAACGCGCCCATGGACTCCTAAGAAATTCGTATAGGGTAGACTAAAATGGATGCTCAAAAAATTTTCAATAATCAAATTTGAAAAAATTACTTCTTGGCAAAGTCCACAATTTAAAAATTATTCAAGAGTGGGGTAAAATGACCACCCGAAAAAGTTCAACTCATTCAACTTTTAATCAAGAAAATTTTTCACAGACATTTCCTCGTAGAATCGTGTCGGTATCTTTTTATAGAGAAAAATTAGAGTTGGAAAAGATATCAAGAAATAAACTCTATTAACTCTATTAAATTTTGCGTTGAAGTTTGAAATATAGAGCAGCTTTGGATTTCCTGTTTTCCTATTAAAATAACTTTGACATTATTTTTTTTTTTCAAGGAACAATTGCATTTTGTCCATTTGCGAAATTTGTAAGATGGCTACTTTTCTACTTACAACGGAAATCACCATAAAACAATGTGAGGAGGGGAGGATGAATGAGCAAAGAAAAATTTGGTATACCAACCCCACGACAAAAGTCAAAAATGAGTTTTTTCTTCAGTTCGAAAATCGCAGTCGTGACTAGTGTTTCATAAATTGAATAACATTGTTGAACCATAAAAAAATGAAGAAATCGAAGTGTCCATTTTACCTCGTTTTGGCTTTACATTACAACTCCTGTGACGCAGTCTTATGACAATGTGTTGATTTTTATAAACTTCAAATGAAGTCGGAACAGTAGATTTGATCAAATTTAACTCATTATTTAAATCTGGTGTCCATATTGCCCCACCCTCCCCTAAGTTTAATCAGTGACATTGTGATATCGTTCAAGTTGACATGTCGCAAACATTATTCTTCGTTAAGATTTTCATGATCTTCAAAATTTTTGTCCTAAAAACATTCATCTTTGAGATGAATGAAAAACTAAAAAATGCTATACTTTTTATCATTTTTCTCATCAACTATCTATAAAGCATTGTTCTCCCTGGGATTGTCTAGTGATTGAAGAGGCGAATTGGTTAACGTTGACTGATGACATTGCGGACATAATTGGGGATGGATTTGATGCCGTCATATGTTTGGGTAACAGCTTCGCCCACATGCCTGATAATTTCGGAGATCAAAGGGAACAGAAACAGGCTCTGAGGAACTTCGAGCAATGTGTAAAGCCCGGTGGACTATTACTCATTGATCATCGGAATTATGATCACATCATTAGCAGTGGAGGGACTCAGATTAAGTGCATTTACTACAGTGTAAGTTTCTCCAACATTGCATGGACAATTATAAGAATCAATTCGCTGAATTTTAAATTCTTGAATTGTTTTTCCAATCACTAATCTTAAGGGGGGTCCTAGTGAAATTTGAAAGTCTTCGGTTGATGAAAATAATTATCGAACAACTTTTAATATATTATGGGGAACCTAAAAAACTAAACAAAATTTCGTTCCCACCCCATTTTACTCCGTATGTCACTGCGAAAACGCAGTTTTTCGTGTTTTTGGATTTGAAATGCTCCGGGCATCACAATTTTCATCCGATTTAAACTTTTTTTTTTCAAAATGTACTTTAGATCTCAATTAGTTCATAGAAGTGGTAATTTTTTCGGTTTAGTAATTTTTTTCCTCTTTTTATACTGGATAAAAAAAAATATTTTCAAAACTTGTTATGTACTATTTTAATGTTTAACAATTCAGAATAATAATTTTTATATCGTATGAGGAAAGGAAACAAGTTGATATCTCAATTTTTGCACAATAGATTGTTTACAAAGTTTTTTTTATGGAAAAAAGTAAAACGGGAATATCTCGAAAACTTTGGATGAACGGGTTTTACGGAAAATATATGTTTTGATTGATTTAAATAGAAGGCATTGTATCGAATATTTTGAAAGAACAAACGAAATTGGTCCACTAATTTTGAAGATATTTGCGGAAAACAAATCGCTTTTTCTCAAAAACTATTACATCGATCAAGCTGAAATTTTTCACAGAGCTAGTCCTTATTAGGACCTATAATGTGACAAAATTTCAGATTTTTTGGAATTACTTTAGTTACTTAATTATTTATGTTAAAGACTGATAATCGGATGTGAAGGGTCAGGATGTGGACTTGTGGATTGCACAATGAAACTACAGATTCACTTAAACAACTTGGATCACGATTTATTTAAACATAAACAAGTTCTCGCCTCGCGAACTTTTTTTTTCTAAAAATTGATGACCGGGATGGTGGCGGTGGACGAGTTCACATACACACACGGTCGCCAAACTTTGTATTTTTACGTTTCAGACCATTCTACATCATTTTCCATCAATATTAGAGAATGTGAAAATTGAAGGATTGCAATGCTTCTATTCTGAAGCAAAAAATGAGTAAAACGAAAAAAAAAAAATTTTTTTATGATCAAATTGAGATAATCGAACAAAAACTAATTTTATTCTATGGAATTTAACGTTCAAATCGGATAAAGATTGTGGTGCGAGGAGTATTTCCAAGCCAAAAATACGAAAAACGACGTTTTCGCCTGACGTACGGACTAAAATGGGTTGGGTACGAAATTTTTCTCATGTTTTTAGGTACTCTATAATATATCAAAAATTGTTCGACAGTTATTTTCATCAACAGAAGACTTTCAAATTTCACCTGGGTCCCCCCTTAAGAGATGTCAGAACAATTCTTGGACTAGAGATGTGGAATGACCGTCATTTTCCCTTTCGGTCAAATCAGACTTAAATGACTGGCTTCTGACTGTTTTTTGACCCTGACGGTATTTTATATGAAGAATAACCGTCACAGTTAAACTTAGATTGGTTACCATATGAGGGAAACCCCGCCGTGCGTCGTTTTTCTTTATGTAATTACAATTGACTGACTAACCGGAATAATAAAAAAAACAGAGTGCGTGGAGTCCACGCGCGACAGAAGTGAAACTTCTTTTTAGTATTCTCAAATTTTTTTGTCCAATTTGTTTTTCCTGAAAATTTTTTTTTCGCTTCTCATGCTTGAGAAAGCATTATTATTATGCTTATATATAGAAATTCGATGGGATACTAGGAAATTAATAACAAGAAAATTTGAATGACTTTTTTCATTTTTTACCATTCAGCAGATAAAAACTTTCAATTTTCAAGTTCAGATTTTTAATTGCAATTTTTAATTTCAATTTTAAATTTGAATTCCAAATTTCAATTTTATATTAAAAGTTTTAATTCGAAATTTCAATTGAAGTTTTCAATTTTTAATTTTCATTCAAAATTTCAATCTCAAATTTCAATTTCCAATTCAGAATTCCAATTTCAGAATGGAAATTCAAATTTCAGGATTTTCAAAATCCAAATTTTTAATTTTGGAATTGAAGCAAATAAAAAATTTAAATTTCGGATTTTCAAGCGCAATTTTTAATCTCAATTTTGATTTTCTACTTCAAATTTCAGATTAAGAATTCCAATTGAAAATTTGAATTTCAAATTTAAATTTTAAATTAAAAGTTCCAATTTAAAATTCCAATCCAAATTTTCAATTATCAATTTCCATTCAACAGCCAAATTCAAATTTGAGGATTTTGAAATTCCAAAATTTCAATTTTGGAATTTCAAATTTCAATTTTAAATTACCCTTTCAATTTTCAATTTTCAATTTTGCATTCCAATTTCAAAATCCAAATTCGAGTTTGAGTATTTAAAAATTGCAAATTTTTCATTTTCGAATTTGAAATTTTCGAATTTCCAATCTTAGAATTACAAAGTTCAAGATTCAAAATTTCAGGATTTCGAAATTTTACAATTTCAGAACTTCAAATTTCACAATCTCAACTTTCAGAATCGCATAATTTCAAAATTTCAAAATTTCAGAAGTGCTAAATTTCAAAATTCAGAGTTCATCATTTTAAAATGCAGAATTCAGAATTTCCCAATTTTCAATTGCAGATTTCAAATATCAATTTTGCGTTCCTGATTTAGAATTTCAATTTCACGTTTAAACTCAAAATTTAAATGTAAAATACCAATTTCAAATTTCAATTTCAATATCAAATGTCAAAATTTCAAGTTATTTGAGTTTTTTACATTTTTTACATTTATTACATTCTATAGATAAATTGCCAGTTTTTCACGTCGTAATGTAAAAAACTGTCTCTAGACCGAAATGCCCATCCCTGGTCTCAGGCATAGCAAGGCGTACGGCCCCACTCTAGGCTTACCCCCACTACCGATCCTTACATGTTTCGTGTCGCCTCGGATTTTCTTCACTCACGCGCGGCTCCCCTACGCTTGACTAGCCCCCCACTTACTGACTAACCCGTTCCCCTCAAAACCTTTCACTTTTCGTGTCGCGCTGAAATTTTTCGTACCCTCCCTAAAGAAGTTTCACTTCAAAAAATTTGACTATGTCAATTGAAGTGTCTAAAGATTTATAGTAGTTTTTAGAACAACATATTTCCCGAAATTCCTACAGAAAACAAATTATTTCGAGCGGAGGAATTATTTTTTGCCATGTTAAATGAAATTGTCCATCACGCGACGTTGTCGGAAAGTGGCTAAACGCGCCCAGACAGTGTAGAGGGAATTCGGCAATGCTAGTGTAGAGTCTTGAAATTTTTTTCATCATTGTAGCTCATCCTTCTTCGTATTGAATGCGTAGAACTGGATATGATGAAGTTAATTTTAGTGTGAAGAACCATTAGTATTGAATCTACTAAGAAAAAAAATTACTGTCAAATAAATATAAAAAAAAAATTTAATAAGTAATTATTTCAATTTTTTAATTTAAATTAATATGAATTAATGTAAAAATATGAAATATTTCAGAATGAACACATAACAGACATCAAAACCTCCGTGCTGTTCGTCGCTGGAAAGCCCCAGACAGTTATCATGGATTATATGGTAACATTAGACAGTGGCAAAGACAACACGAGTGATTTTCGTCTGTCCTATTATCCCCACCTCCTTGAGGTTTTCCACAAAATGCTGGCAGAAACATTTGGGCCGAATGCTAAGCACGATATTTACGCTGACTTTATGCCCCTCGAGATGAATTCCACTCCAGGATTTTACATTCACATGTTAGAAAAAAGTATGTGAGCTCTAATTTTCGAGTTTCGAAAAATCATTGATAGGCATGCGAAGGGATTTTCCAAAATAAGACTGATGAAATCTCAAGTGTTCACAACTTTAATAATGAATAAAAACCATGAAAGTGAAGAGCACGAATTTATTCAAAATAAAAATAAAAAACAACAGGTACCAATGTCCATGACCTGTTGTTTGCTCCAATAAACTTGTTTTCTGCCTCTATCTTGTTGATAATGAGAAGCACTGAAGGAATACTTCGTTTTATACTATCTAGGGAATAATTCAGTGGGAAGAAATCCATTGTTATCGATAATTTTCATTTCGGTTTCATGTTTTATTTAGATACGTACGGTAAACGTACATAAACTTGATTTTTAGAGTATTTTGTATAAATAGTAAATATACACGTTGGAAAGCCAAGACTAGAAGGTTTTCATTTTGTTTCTTAATATCACTCCATCTTTTCCTCCTTTCGTAGACATATAAGCTAAGGGGTTTTCTACTGTACTCCCCTCATTTCTTTCATTGATTTATTTATTTGTTTGGAAATAGAAATGATATAATTGTTTCTATTTAGTGTGAAGAGAGTAATCGTGGAGATGAAAAATTTGGAATCAAGAATCCCATCTACTGAGTCATTATGGAATTGTCTCGTTAATGAGTGATTCCCGAGGAAACAATCATAAGCTCATCTTTATGAGGCATTTTGTTGCTTACAAAAAAGGCACCTCGTGATGTTTCCTCAAAACCACTGATTCACGAGATGAAATTCATAATTGACGGAGATATCATTTGAATCAAATCAATTTTTCTCCTACGAACCCATAGAACATAACAAAATTGATTTACATTATTTTCCTAAATGAAATGAAAGTATAAGTTAATAACGATAATTTTCGACCTCGTCCGATGTCCCACAGCCGAAGTAAAAAAATGGACGAAGTGTAATAAGTTGTAGCAAAGTTCTCTACACTCCTTTCCTTTCATATTCTCTCTATTTCTCACTAAATTCTCCTCAATAATTAATGTAATTCCTATTAGACCCGTTTCGTCACATTTTCTTTCAATGTCAGTTAATAATCAATAAAACAACCCAATCATTTTGTTTCTTTTGTTATTATTAAAAGTTACGATAAATCTAAAACCTCTGAAGCAATGCAAAAATAATATTATACTTTTTTTTAAAATTCCGTACATATTTTTTTTGCGAAGCAATTGAGTGAGAAAGGAAGGCAGTTGAACGAGCTTGCACGTTAAGGGCGGTCGTTAAAATGTTTCGAGTGAGAAATTCCGCCGCGCGTGCGATTTTTTTTAATTCTCTTTTTTTTAGTTTATATATAACCAACAGCGTTTTAACTTTCGCATAGAATTTCCTCAACTACGAATAGAGCCAGCTATATCGTTTTCTCATTTTTCTCATTCTGTCATCTAAAAATCTAAGTAACAAACTGTTGTTTCATAATTTCTTTCGTAGTTTTTTTTAGTTTAACACTTTGATAATTTGTTCTCCTCACTTAATGCAAAATAATAACGGAGATTTGGGGCAGAATAAAGTTTTGTTTTACCATTTCAAATGGATGTAGAATAACTAATGAGAGTGGGGAAAAAACTGCACAAATTGGAGGGCGAAAAATTCTCACGAAGGAGGGATAATTTTTGGAAATTTTACGAAGCCGTTATTGGAATTTCTGCATTGCAACATTAATACATAATGAGTAGACTTATCTTTGATGTAAGGGAAGTTGAGTTGTTTACCAAGGTCTCAGTTGTCAATTCTTAATGATTGGTCGATCATCGATCGGCTAGCAATTGATTAACGATTAATCATCAGCCAGCGATGAACCAACGATTGATTGGCCATGAACCGAGTAAAAAAGTATATACCTTATTGGGTTGGCATCAAATAACCCTCGATCAATTTGCCAGGGTTTGATAACTGAGTTCTATCTCAGGTATGAGTGGTTTAGACAAAAAAAAATCACAGAGGAAATTTTTTTTGCAATTCTGTAGCGAAGTGGTAAACTAGGATAAGTGCAAAAATGGAACTTTTTAGGAGTTCAAAAATTTGACCACTTTTGAGAGAACTTTCGATTTAAGCAATAGAAAACTTTTCAAAAAAATTGCACTTATCCTAGTTTACTCCTTCACTACAGAATTGATCATGTGAATTTGAAAAAAATCCATTTGTGGAATATTTTTCTGAGTAAAAGCAACAATTAAAAATGGAAGGTCCAGCAAGGTCATTTGAATATCAGTGCACTGATAATATGTCATTTGATAGATACTACTATATGGAATAGTGGGGGTTATTTTTTGCATAATAGAAATCACATTGTTGTTCTGAATCCATCGATGTAATTTCAACTACTATCTCACTGAAATATATTGAGAAAAAGTTCATTTTGCCCCATTCTCTCCTACTCCTAACTGACATATTTTCATCCCACGCACTGCCTTATATATATTTATATTGTACTATATGTACAATTTATTACATTATGTATATTATATACATCTAATATTGCTGTTTGGCTATCTTTATACACGATATCCGTCCTCAATCCCCTATTGCATTAAAATTTCTTCGACCAATTTTTTCGCATCTTAATTTGCTAATTATTCTTATGATCCTTCATTGGAGAGCCTAAAATACGCACAGAGATAGATAAAGTCATTTCTCATTCCGCAAATTTTCGTATTTAAAATTCTCTTAAAATTAAATCACAAGTATCTCAATATCCCCCCTGCGATCGCTTCTTCATGATTGATATTTACTACACTACATTTCCATATGTAGTTTTTTCCTTACCACTTCTGTAGTGAAGTAGTGAGAAAATAGTGAAAATACTTGAGAGATCAATTTGAGCCCATTTTTAAAACTAGGGCATTGGGAAAACACCATCGAAAGGACTTCCTGGCAATTCATAAAAACGCCACAAAAAACAATTTTTGTTTGAGCCTTTCAAGATTTTTCGGCAGCCATAACTTGTCGTCATTGTATTTCCTGGGCGAGAAACGTCGATAATTATGGAGAGATTTATGTCAGACATGGCTGTTTTGATAATTATGCAAATGCCTTTCAAATAAATAATTCCAAGAGAAAAAAGCAAAAGATTTTTAATTTCCCGATAGGAAGTTATTGGTTTCACTCCGGAAATGAAAAATCGTAATTTCATGAAATGTCGACATTTCATGACCAGTAGAAGCCCCCCAGATGGTTTTTAGAAAAGTGTGTGTGTGTGTGTGTGTGTGTGTGTGTGTGTGTGTGTGTGTGTGTGTATGTAGCCACTTTTTTTCGTTAACGCTCCGGGGCGATCGTGCGATCGAAATGAAATTAGTCGCTATCAATAGGCATTCACTTGCTTAAGACTGGATTAATTTGGGAGAGAAAACGCCCACCCCTTTTGGATTATTTCAAAAAATAAGTGTCAACATTGAAATTCGGGAAATTTGAATTTGTAAGAACTGAAATGTTTCGTAAGAAATTGCCGAATTTCAAATTTCAAATTTAAACTCGCATCGGGAAGTTATACATGCGCCCCTTAAGGATGTTTAGCCAGCTCGGTAAATTGTCGGTAAATGTGTTTTTTTTTTCATGGTCAAGGAAAATTCTGTAATTTTTTCGTCTGACAGCAGAACATATAAAACTAACTTTTCTAACGTTAAAGAAAATTATAGTCTCGGCAGAAATGAATAAACTAATTTTTCCTTATACAAGAGCTCTTATGAAATTTATGTTCAAATTGACAATTCACCTACTAGAAGACTCTAACAATAGAAATAAAAATAGAAGGTAATGTGTAAAATCATATTGAATCCAATGGCCAGAGCAAAATCTGGGGTACCCGGGCAAAAAGAGGGAATATTTGAGTGATTCTATCCGATATAAGCGCATGTTAGCGCATGCATTTGGTACATTTTGTCTATTTCATTTCTAAATAATGAACAGGGGTTGGTGGATTCAAATTCATATCAAAGTAAAGGGAATATCTTCATCTCTCAGTTAAAAAAAATTAATTTTCTTATAGTACTTGCGATTTTGAATAAACATCCTTAAAAGGACACATGAAGCAAATTTCAAATTTTGGTTTCGAATTTACCACATTTTCTGCAAAAGAACGGTTCTCCATTTTAGAATTTTGTGAAACTCTCCATTCTGAAGCTAATTGCAAAGTAATCTACCCCTCACTCTTCTTTTCTCACCATTTCCCCACAGAATTGATCAATTTATCTATAATAACGTATCGTAGATATTCTCCATTTATCGTCTCAAAATTCTTAAGATTCTCAATAACAAAGTCCCTTAAACTCCACCGTAACACAGCCACTTGCAAATTTTAGTCTTGTAGTTAGATTTGTTCATAATAAAAGCGCAAATAAAATAATGAATCTTATATACGTAATGATGCAACAATGGATAAATCCTAAAAGATCCCTTAATTCTATAAATGTCCGAAGCACAATGTCATAAATATCTTGAAATTTTCACAAGTATTCTCGAGGCCTTGGGGGCGGTCGCTTCCTTTCCCTTTCAGTTCGTTCACTTCTGTCGCCAGCAGTGTCACGATCCTCGCACTCTAACATTTGTGTTGTTTCTGTGGCGTCAGTGGGTGAAACAGGTTGAGTAGCTAGAGGCGCAAGTGGAGCCAAGGGTGCAGCACCTTTATTTCGCGATTTACTTCGTCGTTTACGAAGAATCAGCGGACCTAGGGCTGCGGAGTCTTCTCTAGAAGTTGAGGCTTGAGTTAAACGTTCCAAGAGTTCTTTGGAGACGTCTCTCGAGGAGTAGTCGACTCCTGGAGTCACTGGCTCTTTGGCTTTCTCAGTTTTTTGGTCTGAATGGTGGTGATGGTGCCTGTGGTGATGATGCTGCGGGAGTTCTTTTGCTGGGATTCTTTCGTTTGGCTCTCTGGAGTCACTTGAGATCGCTGCAGGCTTTTGATCTGGAGATGTTTGAGTTCCTGCGTCATTCCCACTGTTACCCGAGATGAGGAGATTCCCCGGACGAGCTGGGGGCGTGCCAATTGGGGGCAGGGGAGGCAGTCTGCTGATAACACTTTGTAACATGTCCTCCAGCTTTGCTAGTCTTTGGTTTACCCGCTGAACTTCTAGTTTCAGGTCCACCTTGACTTCTAGAACTGCCGCGAGGATCTCCCGATCCTGGCCGGGCTGAGAGGTAATCAGGCCTCCGTCGTAGGACTCCAGACGGCGCAGCGAGAGCTGCTTAGATTCGATGGCTAGGGTTGTGCTTGGTGGTTCCTTAGGTGGTTCCGGGTCCTGGACTTCTTCGATGGTGCCGCTCAGTTTGGAGAGTTTCGGGAAGACCTTATTCATGCTGACGGAGGAGGAGGGGCGAGAGTCTCGGGCACTCAGAGTCCGCTTGAAAGTGTCCGTGCCGGTACCGGTTTCACTTCCAGAATCTAGACTCGAACTACCTGGTAAATCAATTGAGATTTATTTTCAGTAATATATTTTATTCAGGATATATGTGAACTGAAGAAGTGAGTGGAAGAGGGCTGGCAAATACGAATCGTTTGAGTTGTACGACTTGTGTTTATTCTTGCTTACTGAATCGAATTGTAAAATAAGTGGGAAATTGCTCTGGTATTGAATATAGTGTAGTGATTTTTGGTAATAAATTAACAATATGCTTTCGAATGATTATTTTGCACATCATTTCCTTCTATCATGTATAATCCATTGGTTATTTCATTTTATTAAATCGAATAAGATTTCTTTTCAACTAATTTTGTCACATTTTCAACTTAGTTGAAAGTTGTCCTCATCATTATTCTTATTGTTCCTTTCTTCTATATAAACAATTATATTTTTAACAGTTTTATCTCTCCACACAGAAAAAAAATTAATAGAAAAACCTGGCGAATTCATCAGAAAATTCTATTGGATTTCTATTGAATTTTCAATTAGTTTTTGGCTGATGCTATTGAATTGTTTAATAGAAAATATTCAATAGAAACTATTCAATAGTCAATGAAATTCGATTTTTCAATATAACTTATTCTCTACAGATATTTTCTATAGAAGTTCCCCGGCTCAGATTTCTCAAGTTTTTTTTTGCTTAATTTTCTTGATGATAGGAAAAGAAAAATAGAGTGAAACAAACTTAAAAAATTTGAGCCGAGAAAATTTAATTGAAAATATCTCAATAGAATGAGTTGTATAGAAAAATCGAATTCTTTTGACTTTTTCTATATCATATTTTCGATCGATCATTTCAGTAGAATCGGTTAAAAACTAAGAAAAAGTTCAATAGAAATCCAATAGAATTGTCTAGCGAATTCGCTAGGTTTTTCTATTAAACGTTTTCATCCATGTCCCCTCAGCCCTTCGATAAAATGTTAATAGAAAAATGTTATTCATACATAATTCAATGAATTTGAAACATTACATTTCAAGAAACTATCAGAAAGTTCACTTTCCGAAAAATTCATGAAAAATTCGAAATTTTCAACAATCATCAAAAAAATCTAATCAATCAATATAGCTATCGTAATCACCGTTTAACTTTGACTTGATGGCATTAAAACAAACATTTTAAGCTATTATTGAATTCATTTAAAGTATGATATCCAAAGATATCCCGGAAATTATGATTTTCAAAAAATACACAATTTTTGCTAATTTTCAAATAAATCAGAATAACGGTTATTGCTATATTAAATTGCAATTAATAGTGATTGATAGGGCTCAACAATACCAACATTTGAGGAAGAAGAAAGATTCAATTCCATCGATTCATTAGCGAACAATTGAAGAAAAATTGGTTTACACACGTACGGACACGGTCTAAAAATTGCATTTTCAAACTTTTTGGATCATAATAGATCGATATAACCCGGAAAACCCACAACTTAAATTTGAACGATTACGATGCTTCCATTTGGAAGCAAAAACCATTTTGTGTTCTCGAAAATTGAAAGTCTCTAAGTTTCCGTCTAAAATCACTTACTACTTCCTCACCAACAAATATTTTACATTGAAATTGGACTGGAGACTCAAAATACCAAGTCTTCATGTTAGTTACTTCCGTACAAAAAGTATAAGTAAAAAAACTACCCACAATTATCAAGTTTCCATTGAGACTCAAAAAAATAGGGAGTAAAAAATGAAACGGGATCGCGCAAATTCGAACATTTACCAAGCAGACGACCCCATTTACTGGCTCGTGGTCGAATAACCGTCTCTACATCTCCAGAAGATGGTTTCCTAGTGTGTGCAACCTCTCCATCCTTGCCATCTTTACCATCGCCCTTCTCCACATCCGTAGGATGTCTCTCTCTCCGGAATCTGTTTCAAAGGGATGACACCAAAAAAGTGACGCTTTAATCACGGCTTAACATCGTGTACCACAAAAAGGCCTTTTATTTATGAGATTTTTATTTTGAGGACTGTTAGTACAAAAGGCCGGACACTCTATGCGGATCAGAAGATATTCTTCATCTTTTTTTTTTTTAAATCAGAGCTTGACATTTTTCGCATCAACTCCAGTGAATGTTCATGTGAAGTATGTGAAACTCTTGGAATATTTCATTCATATTTTAACGAGTGTAAATGATTTTATTTTATTACAGTAGTGAAGTGGTGGAAAACAAGTTATACCAACTTGGCTTTAGAGTGAGTTTTTAATGAATATCTCGGAATTGCTTAGAGGTAACAGAATATTCCTAAGAATATTTTTTTATAAATTTATGAATACTCATTTTATTCATAAGACCAAAACCCTATAAGAAATGAAAAGCTATAGGAAAGTATCCAGAGACATTCTGTCATTTCCCATAAATTCCGAGAAAGTTCTGAAAAACTGTCTCATCTTAATATACCATGTTTCCAAAATTTTTCACTTTAAATGCCTCGACGATTGTTTACTCTTTGAAGTCTAATGCAAATTTGTCTACTGATTTTACATTCGAGTGAATATGAATAAAATTTTCGTTTAATTGTTAGTTCTTTCATTTTTTATTAGTCTTTGGCATTTCTTACATTAATTTATTACAAAATTGGCTACAGAGGCTATAAAGGGTTACAGCTCCAGCGGTGTTCACGAGCAACCTACTTTGGTGTGCCTACGGGAAGAGTAAAAAAGATATTTTTGTTTTTTTGCTCGATTGTGTGATACAATCCGTGTGGTCGACATACGGAGAAATGGTCAAGTGCGGACTATGTGAGATTCAAAGGGAATCATGAATTATCATAAACAGCAAAGGAATAGTGAATTCACAATACTCAATAATCAATTGCGGAGGAGAAAGTGGCCAATATGACTGAAAAGTTGGATAAATTGCTGGTAATCTCACAATAGTCCATACTCAATAAAAATATCAATATACAATTAGTTAGTCATTCGAAATATTACATTAATAATGAGTTGAAAATTAAATTTAAAAAAATATCAAGGTAATGAGAGAAAATAGTTTGCGTGAATTTCGACAGACGGCTTTCGAATTAAATGAATGTGGTCTCTTTAATTCTATTGTATTGTCAATGGGATCTTTCATCTAAATTAACAAATTGAATAATGTTACGAGTATTATTCCTATTACTATTGGAGCAATTCCACGTCAAATCCGAAATGAAAAAAATTTCATGTTTCCCATTGCCTTGCCGATTTTTTTCTTAGAAGGAGTACAAAATATCAACTCTCATATCATTTTTAGAGCGTTACGATTTTTTCCAGCGAGTTATGATTTTTAAAAAAATTTCACTTTTTTCACTTGAATTTTGATTGTTTGAGAAAAAAGTGAAATAATTGAAATTAATGATTAGAAATCGAATTTTCATTTCCACGGATTGGAAGGTAATTGGAAAAGATTCAAAATGAGCGAAATTGAACTCAATTTATTCAATTTTTAGAGCGGTTATGGTAAAATCAAATTTTTGACATTTGACAAAATCAAACATGAAATTTTTTTCATTTCGGATTTGACGTGGAATTGCTCATTGTTAATTTTCAACTTCTCTAAGGGGATAATCCTTTAAAGTACGACTCTTAAGGGGCCGTCGATGAGATTTGAAAGTCCTCAGTAGAGATAGGGACCCACTGAATGATTTTTGATACATGAAAGTTACAAAAATGATGTCTCCAATCGATTTTGCCTTATACATAAAAAATGGGTTATCCATGTTGGTACCTTTAAAATCGTCCTTGCACCACTGTTTTCATCAGATTGATATTTTTTTTCTGAAATGTTCGTTAGACTTTAAAGAGCAATATTAAGGCCCGGCTTCATTATCTGCCGGACGTTATCTAAATTGTCACTCAGGATCACCCGAAAATTCTGAATTTAAATTTAAAAAACGTAAAAAAAATCTGAACATTTTGAAAGGGTGTTTTTAATTAATATTGAGGAATGATTACAATAGAGGAGATAGGAATAATGTATAATTACTGTGACAAATGGCAGCCTGTCAGTGGATACCGTGAATGAGGAAAGACAAAATATAAATCCCTTGGCACATTGCAACAAAAGGATTGTACGAAAAAAGGCTCTTTGAAAAAATTTGTAATATTTTTAAGAATTTTGTTGTCACACTTTTACGATGAATTACTAATCACTTACGCCAATCTCTTCCATTGATAATTGCACTGGCGATCAGCTATCACTTTTGTCGGGAATTGAAAACAGGAAAATCGCTCTTTCTTCCTTTTTTAGCGCCCCCAACAAAAGTGACAATTGATGGACAGTACAATTTTTGATTGAGGAGATTGGTGCATGCAAGTGATTACTAGTTCATCGTAAAAGTGTGATCAAAAAATTCTTCAAAATATTACATTTTTCAAAGAACCTTTTTTTTGTGCAATCGTCCGATTGCGCTTTGCCGAAGGATTTATTTCATATTTCCCCCCTCCCCCCTGGGGGTTGCTGACAGGCCACCATTTGCCACGGTAATTATACATTATTCATATCTCCTCTATTGAACTCATTCCTCAACATTAATTAAAAATGCTCTTTCAAAATGTTCAGAATTTGTTTTACTTTTTTTTTCAATCCAAATTCATATTTTTTGGGGTCTGAGTGACGGGGCATCAAGTTGATATTTCGAGATAAAAATCGAACAAAAAAGCAATCTAGATAACGTTCGGCAGATAATGGAGCCGAGCCTTAGAACGAAAAAAAAATGGAATAATTTTTTTTTCATTTTTCTTTTCAATTTTTTAATCATCTATTTGACGAATCGTATAACGAATACTTAACTTTGTTGTTTGAAGTCTAACGAACATTCAATAACAATAAAATTATGTCAATTGAATGAAAACTGTGGTGCAAGGACGAATTAAAAAATGGAAACATAATGGAAAACGTCGTGTATCGTTCATGGATTGGAGTCATCACTTTTCATACTTTTGAACATGCCTCATTATATATTAAGTCACTTAATGTGTCCCTAGTGCTACTAAAGGCTCTTAAATCTCACCAATGCCCCCTCTTAACACAAATAAATGTATATGAGCATTATTAGATTGAAGTTATGTCAAATTGAAAAAATCATGTCAAATGTCAGAAAGTGCGCACGAGAAAACGCATTCCCTAAAAAAATGGTCCGCGTAATTTTCCTCGCGAGGGTTCATTAGCAGGATGATTTCCAAACTTTGAATATTACAACGAGAATGATTATAGTACATCAGAGCACAAGGGCACAAATTCTTTTTCGACGAATGTGAAGTTTACAGGCCAAGCCGAAGGCAGACTTATTGCACGGGTTGATATAATAGTACATTAGAGTACAAGGGCACAAATTTCGTATTCAACAAATGTGTGTACAGACCTCGCCTTTGGCTCGGCCTGTAAACTACAAAAATTTATTACCGAGTACTCTATAATATTTTATGTCAAGTCGTGCAGAAGTCGAGTTTTGAGCAAGCTGCGCGAAGCGCAGCGTGCGATAAACTCGACTTATTGCACGGCGCGACATAAAATAATAAATTTTCAACTACTAATATGTTTCCACGAAATTTTCGTCACAACTCACGCAATATTTTTGCTCTCCAAGGGTATTCGTCTCGTGCTTTTCGAATGACTGGATCGAATAATATTCACAGCATCAATATAGATATGTATGAAAAAAATATCAGGTGATAGAAATATAAATTTGAATCCTAGAGTGTTCATAAATCATGCATTCCGCCGCAGTATGGCTTGTAACCATGTAATTGTTGAACATTAGCGCAGAAGATTGAGGATTAGAAAGATAGTGTGAATAAGAAAATTAAAAAATCAATGAGTCAGTTAATCAATTAGTGATTAACAAGGCAACAAAAGAGTGTGATTTAATACATCATTTTCAATATTTTTGAAATGGGGATTCGAGAATAAAATGAAATAGAAAATCTGGAAAAGTCAGAGCGAAGGAAAGATAGAAAAACAGAGAAAGGGTAACAGTAAGTTAATAGAAATGGCTTATATTATTCGCTCTATACAGTTTTCTTCGTTTTACGTAAAATATTGAGACGTGGGACGATGTTTAATGTGGCAACATCGTTTTGTTCAAAATCGATGGATTACTTATTTATTGGCACATGATTATTGAGGAATATTAGAAACATTATCACGAAAGATGTTTGTACTAATATATTGTGTTGACTTCAACGAAGACTCTCGTTGCAATATGTTTCGTTAAGGGCAGACTATTATGAGTTTTAAAAGTCGCGGGCGATTGGAGTGGAATTTCTCATACATTGAAGATCGATTATATATGTGGAAAAATGAATAATTAGTGCAAGCAAATTAATTATTTATTGTTCGTTGGTCCCACAGACGCTTAAAATGTTAAAAATAGTCCAGAACCTCCAATTTTTGAGCTACAGAGGTTTTTTTTCAAAATCTTTGAAAAAATGTGTGCAATACCGATAATGAATTAGTTTTTGCTTCTGAATGGAAGCCTGTGACCCGTCATTTTTACGATCTCGTAATTTTGCTTGGAAATGATGTAGAATGTCATGAAACATGAAAATATGATGTTTTTAGAAAATGTGTGTATGTCCGAATGTCTATACCGATTTTTCGGAAATTTTTTATAAATTCCCCCCAAAAAAAAAGGACTAAAGTTTGAGCTAAAAATATGAAATTTCGTCGTATAATCGGTATTGTTTTGGAGCATTTGTGGGCGCAAGTTCAGCTCAATCGGCCCAGTAGTTTCCGAGATAAAGCAATTTCTCAAAAATCTTTTTTCTTCAATATCTCAAAAACTACGCGACCAAATTCAAGTTTTTTGGCGGGAAAGTATTCCTTACGATAATATCTATCGAAACAAATCATAATATTGCTACGTAACTAGGATCAGTTTAATAATAATCGACATTTTTCGATTTTGTTGAAAAAATGTTGTGGACACGATAAGTCGCTGAAGATTGAGGATAGGAAGTTGAAATTTGGTATGATTGTAGGTCGTATGATACTACAGAAGTATATTGTTCACGAGTTGAATCGGATGAGCGGTTTCGAAGATATTCACCTTCGAAGATATTCACCGAAGATATTCAATATTTGTCATGGTATCTTCTATCAAGATCAATCAAAATATGCATACCCTCCCATACAAAGTTTTCGAGATATCAGCGTTTTTCTAATTTTTTCATTTTAAAGTTAATGTGGTGTCCATAATACGCGTAAAAATTGGACTAGACATCTGAGATTTTGTGTACTAATTTGTATTATGAGCCCACAGTTATGTATAAAATTTTGTATCGATCGATTCAGTACATCCGGGCGTAGAGCAATTTATACAAAAATCTTTTTTTCTAAAAAATTACACATCGTCATTTTATCAATGATTTTCGTCTCTACATCACTTAAAAAGTCATAACAACAATTTATGGTATTTTGTATTTAATAAAATGTCATAGCTATGACAGAGGTAGAAGTTGAAATTTGGTAAAATTGTAGATCTTATGGCATTACAGGATGAAATTGTATATTTGACAGAATCAGAGGTCGGTGTGATTTATTCCCCTTACTAATATGAATAGCTTTTTGAGTAGTTATCATCTGCAAAATTGTACGGATCCATTCGGAAGCTTATTACCAATGGAACTGGTAGAAAAAAAAAAGTAAATGTCACATGACTTCTGCCAAAAAGGCTTACAACCCTGCTTGTTTGAAATCCAACTCCTACACAGCCAATTTCGTAATTTTTTTAATAAAAAAATTGCACTATTCTTGTAAAATAGCATGAAAAATGGTTCTGAAAGAATCGAGAGTATATTTTAATTGGTAATATTTGAATGAGCTGTGTAGGAGTTGAATTTCAAAAAACTAATTCGTAATTGTTATGTGCATGTGGGGGGACACGAACAATATCCAATTAATTGTTTTGCACTAATTATTCGTTTTTCGTTGATCGGCATCTAGAATCGAGCTTCAATGTATGAGAAATCTCACTCCAATCGCCCGCGACTTTTAAAACCCATAGTAGTCTCCCCTTAAGATTACATCTTTCTAGCAAACTGATGGATTAAAGACAAGGAATTCCATATTCCAATTGAAATAATTCCAATCGGAAAACATAGACCGAGGTAGAGTCACTGTCTGCCGCATTCGATTTCGCCGTCCCCCGTATTTATCTCGTAAGTATAGAAGGAACAATGTTCATAGTAATGTAATATAAATGACTGGTTAAATAGAAATGCGCATAATCCTTCTAAAAGGCGTATAATTTACAGCACTCTAGCATTCGTAAATATATGTTTATAAATATCAATATTATATACATATATTTATGTTACCCTGTATGACTTCAACATTTCGGAAATTTTTGTACCTTATCTTGAAGGATGATTTTTAAAATTTCCAAGGAAAAATCACCACGAGACTCTCATATGAAATTCTCTCTTCTACAGCACAAAGTCTATTGATATTTTCCCTTGAAACGACTTGTTTCCTGGATTATGCACTGATAGAATGATTCATTTATTCCAAACGAGATTCGTTAACTATTAACGAATGGTAGAGTAGAATATGACCAAATGAATATTCGTTAATAGTTAACGAATGGTTCACTTGAATGGCGAAAGTCAAGTCAAACACGGCTCCTCAAATATACATTCGTTAACTATTAACGAATGAACATTTGGTTGGACCGAATAGACCCTAACCTCCAACCAAAATCCATTCGCTAACAATAACTAATCCATTCTATCAGTGTGCTCATCAACAGGTTTAACTCGAATGTTACGATAGACCAAAAATTAAAAATCGCTGAAGGCTACTTCCAAAATGTTTGTTCAAGGGCTCGTATACATAACATTATGAGAAAAAAAAGCCTCGCAGTTATTCCATAGTTGAAATCACGTTAACATTTGCTTCATTTGAATAATAACGATTATCAAGATTTAATTAAAAAAACTTACTCAACAAAAAAGGGTGAAATATCTATGAGAAACATAAAAAATTGGTAATAGGTAATTGAACATCAACATAGGGGTAGAATCAAAATTCTGAATAGAAAATAAAAAGAAGGGGATGATTGATCGAATAATAAACAAGAATGAATCATCAGTGAAAGATGAGGGGTCAAAACTTGGAAAGAAATTTGAAATGTTTGTATAGAGGGATAATGTAAATACGAGGAAATTACTGAGATACGTAGCAGTTGAAAAGAAATGGCAATAAATAAATAATGTAGATTAAATAAATACGTAATAAAAGAAATTGCCTAAAACTTGGCCAGGGTGGTAGAACGTTGACGGTGAGCTCCTCATCTGAATCCTGTGGTGGATGATAATCAGGCAGATGCCGAGGTGAGCCAAACTGGGAATCCCCGTCTGTCTTGAACCTTGTGTAGACAACATCCAGTCAAGCAATCACCATATCAACATTCGCCAATCAAGACATTGCCAATTTTTTAAATTTATTCTATATATTGCTCTCTTCATTTTGATTATAGTTTGGCTATGGTTTTTAATTCTGGTTTGTTGTGGAAAACCAATCAATAAAGCGGATTAAGGCGAGATGAGTGCAACATATAAATTCAATTACGAACATTTATTTCAGCTTATTAAATAAGGATAAATCAACGATGCGACGGAATTGCGTTCGTGTTGATTATGATAATTACACATATTTGTTTGAATGGTATTTGTATAATTGCTTAATAATAAAATGATGATTTGGTGATGCAAATTTCACGTATATTCTTAGTTGTGAGTCAAGTGAAGATTCAGGTGGTAATGACAGGTTTTTTTTGTTGAGTCTCACCTCGAGAATATCTTCCGAACGAGATGATCTTGGGTTTGGTCCAGCTGTGGCTCATTTTTTCGACGCTCTGCCAGTTCCTTCTCTCTGCGAACATCCGCAACTTTTCGAAATATGAGCTGAAACGAGCAAACATAAACAAGAATTTTATTTTCGCATGAGTTTGCATTTTTTCTTTTACTAATCTCCTCTTTTCTACCCACTGGTGCCAGTTAGTAATGAATGAAAAAAATTATATCAAATTTTCCAGTTTTGTTTCATTAATGTTCAGAAACAACTCCGAAGAACTGTTCAACTAGGCTCGAAAACGACTTCAGCCAATATTATAAACTTTTCAATACATTGCAGAGGGCAGTTCTTGAATAGAGACTGGCTTATTTCACCCTTAAACTCCTAACAATGTAATTACACGTAAGACAAAATCCAGTAGGATTTCCTATAAGAAATCCTATGGAGAATTCGAACATTATTTTCTACAGGAATTTCTATAGGATTCCTTATCAAGTTTTTCCTATAGTATTTCTTATAGGATGTCCTACAGAATTTTCTATAGGATTATATGAGATTTTGAATAGGATTTCCTATCAAATTTAGGAGCATAAGGGTCACAATGAGGGTCAAAAGTGTCATATGGGGATCATGTGGGAGTCATATATGGGTCATGTAGGGGTCATATAGGGGTTATATGAAAATTATATGGGGGTCATATATAGGGATTATATGGGGGTCATATGAGGATCAAATGATCTTGGATGGTCATATGAGGGTCATATGAAGATTATTTGATCCTCATATGATTCCCATATGACCTCTGTATAACCCCCATATGTCTCCAATGTGACCTTCAATAGGGCCCTTATATGACCCTTATATGATCCACATATGACTCCCACATGATTGCCATATGACCCCTATGTGAATCCAGTATGACCTTCATTCTGACCCTTATGACCATAAATTTCATAAGAAATCCTATTGAAAATCCTATAGGAAATACTATCTGAAAAATCCTATAGCAAAAGTTGGAATTCCTTTCGAGTTTCCTATAGGAAATCCTATAGGATTTTTCATACGTGTATTCACATTCTCTTCTGTTATCCTGGATTGAAGAGGGGAAACGAGCCAAACAGTAGATGGGAATGAGTTTCAATCTCTTAATGAAAGAGAAATCGTCAGAGTCATCGAGAACGGCAACCAGAAATTGGGAAGAAAAATTTGTTGAAAAAATATTTTGCCCCAAGAAAAACGCCAGATGTTGGACAGAAGTGAGTATCAAACTTTTAAAAACACACGGAGAGAAATTTGTTAGAAAAATTCTAGTGTTAGCCCGAGAAAAGAGGCGCAAAGTGACGGCCAGGAAAACATTTCAGTGCCGGCACTAGAAATTTTATTGGGGAAAACGTGGATTTTTCTCCGTATTTCTGTGAAAATTTCACAGAAATCCCCGAAAATTTTACCGGAAATCACGAGAAATTTTACGTTAACAGCACTAGAATTTTTTACAGCCGGTGGATTGTGATTTTTTCCAGTACTCGTACTAGAATATTTCCAGAAAATTTCTTTCCGTGCATCCAAGGAAAATCCGAGCGCTGTCACTAAAAAATTCTACTGAGAAACTAATTAAGGTTTTTGCTAATGTTTATCAGAAATTTAACACCTTTTTTGCCCAGGTTTTATAAGAATATTTGATAGGAAAATAGTGAAGAGATTTCTATAGAAAAAAGATCGGCCAAAGATTGAAGAGAAAAATCAAAATCTATTGATTTTTTTCAATCACATATTCCTATTTATTTAGGTAAGGAACCCCACATAAAATCTTTCGGTTGTATCTTTTACATCAAGTGAAAAGTTGGTTAAAAACGTTTAAATTGTTGGAATTTTCGTTGATTGGTAGTCATCAATCAATTATACACATTCGCTGTGTGCGATCAATCGATTAAAAATTTACGTTCGTATGAGACAACTTAAGGGGATACATCAGTGAAATTTAAAAGTCTTCACGGGGCTTGGGAGCCATTGAACAGTTTGCGATATATGACGGAATGTGGGAATAGTTATGGAAAATAGCGGACCCGATCGATTTTGTCCCGCCTAACCATGAAAAACTTCATTTTTTCCTGTTTTCACCTTCAAAACACTCCGTGCGCCGTAGGTTTCATACGATATTAGCTTTTTTTAATGTACGTTACACGCTCGAAAGAATAAAGTGCCAGTATCTTCATTTACTTTATTCTTTTTATCTTATTAATCCGCAATAGATCATGAATAAATAAATTTTGAATTCCATAAATTTTGCACGTCTTCAATTTATTGATGATCTATTGCGAATAAAGTTAAGCATTCGTTTTACGTAAAACGAATGCTTAACTTTATTCTTTGGAATGTGACGAACTTAAAAAAAAACTAAAATCGTATGAAAACTACGGCGCCAGGAGCATTTTGAATGTAAAAACAGGAAAAGATGAAATTTTTCGTGGTTATACGGGGCAAAATCGATGGGGTCCATGATTTTCCCTAGTTATTCCCATATTCCGTCACATATTACAAACTGTTCAATAGGTCCCAAGGCCCAGAGAAGACTTAAATTTCACCGAATTATCCCCTTAATAACATACCTACCTACCCTTCTTCTCCCAAAAAAGAGGAGAGAAAAAAGTTTAATGTTGAATCGCAATGAGCATTAATAAATGTAGGTAGTCACCGAGAAATCGTGCAAAATTTTGGATAAGCCAAGAATCCGAGACCCCGTTTATTCTAATTATTCTTCGCCACCTATTTCCATTTCCCATCTGAAATTTCATTGCTGAGCGCTGGTAATTTACGCTCACGCATTCATAAACTCTAATAAAAAAGTGATAGACTCGTCGCAAAAATAAAAGAGTTGGAATAGCGAAGAATTTGAAAAAGATGAGCGCCTGCGCCAAGTTGCCTCAGCCAGTCGATAAGAGACTAAACACCACTCGTTGATATTCGTGCTAGTTCGTAGTTATTCGGCCGCCTGTCTGTTCGGTATATGTATAGTTGTATTATAAGTATAACGGTATATAGAACTCGAGCAACGCGAGCAACCACTGGCAAATGAACTCTTAACCTCAAATAACTCATTCGATAAATCGTTCGGCAACAATGGAAATATGAAGAATAGTCGTGATAAAGTGAGTACCCATGCACACAATTTCGTCGAAAGCTGCTGTTTTGAAATTAACTTATTGACCATTAACGCAATATTTATAAAGCTTATGTGGTAGAAGGAATCCCCTGGTATATGGATTATCGGACGTAACTAACGGCGTACTCAAAGTTGATAAGGAAAGGTACCCTCGACTGCACAATTATCCCCGTAAAAATAGAGATTTTAACGTGCTGAAAGTACTAAATTGTTTATTCTTTTAAAGATGGGCCACGGATCAAGTCGTTCAGCTTCCTCAGCGAATATTCTCTCAGCTGAGGAGCTGACCCTCGTGGAGAACCTATTCAAGTCAATGTCTCGTAGCTCAGGTTCAATAAAACGTGAGGATATATTCAAGCACTGGTCAACACACCTCGACGAAGGACTTCTTCAATTTGTTGTGCGTTTTCTCTGCTACGAGCCTGGAAAAAAAGTTTCTGCGATAAACGGTGAAAATTTTGGCAAACTTTACGTTTACGCGGTGAGAGGAAGCCCCGAAGAGCGCACAAATTTAGTATTCCACGGATACTGCGATGAGGAACAAAAACTTGAGATGCCAACAGCGACATTTTTGGAGTACCTTCAAGCAACGATCAACTCGTATCTAAGATTGCAAAAGAATTGTGGCAATGGTCATTACAACAGCTGGAGCAGTATCGGTTGTACGGTAAATACTCGAAGAATACAAATGCGATCAAAATCCCTCTGCGAGGAGTTAATAAAATACGGTGATGTATTAACTTACGAGCAAATTGAAAATTGGTACAATCAGTCAGCGGCTTTTAAAGCCATTCAATCACACGTATTTCAGTGCCTCTTTTTAATATCACAGAAAAAAGGTGACAAAAATACAAGTGCACGCATCAACGACCTAAATCTTCTGCCAGTTTGCAAGGGTCTGGAAAATATACCCCATTTTCCGAGTATCCTTGGCCTTGGTGATGTACTTTTCTTAAATCTCAGTCTACCTCATGAATTAAGGAATGAATGGCGTTTTTTGTTTTCTAGTCAAGTTCACGGTGAATCCTTTTCAACGATGTTAGGACGTATACAAATGCAAGGAGCTACAATAATTATAATACAAGACACCGATGACCATGTTTTTGGTGCATTCGCCATTGACAGTTGGTCACTTAGTCCAAATTTCGTGGGTAATCAGTCGTGTTTTCTATTCAAATTAGATCCACAAATTCTCACATTTCCATCAAGTGGCTATAACAATCATTATCAGTATTTGAATCAACATCAGCAGACGATGCCAAATGGTCTCTTGATTGGAGGACAACTCAATTATCCTGGTTTGTGGTTAGATTGTGACTATGGAACGGGAAAATCTAGTCCATCTTGCACGACTTTTCTCAATTACGTTCAATTGAGTGGCAAGGAGAATTTTACGATTAAACACCTGGAGGTGTGGGGCGTGGGGTCTTTGCCAGAGATTGAGGAGGGCACTAGAGACGCCAAATCAGTCCTCGATCAGGATGTCACGTCTCGAGTGATGCTGGAACTTGCAGGTCGAAAAATGCACAGTGATGGTCTCAGAGAGCCAAAAGAAGAAAACTATAAATAGAATACGCCGCTCATATCAGCACATCGAAAACTAAAATTGATAAATCATTAACTTTCTTCCTTCTTTCCGAACCCTTATTCTTTTACGAAAATTAATCAATCAATGAACTCTACAACGGCCTGATTTTCTAAACTCTTATTATCAATATCATCTTCACCATCTCTTTGTGAATTTTGCACCGATCATGGACTTTGATGTAAAGAATAATAATAATAAAGGTTATAGATGGAAAAGACAAAGGAACTCTTGTGATGAAAATAGTTCAGTAATGGAGTATTAATAGGAGATGAGCTTGAAACGAATTCAGTGATTGCCTGGCGAATATGTTGAGAAGGCGAACGTTTAGAGAAATTTCATGGAAATATTTTTTTTTAAAAGGATCTGATATTTTCTCTAAAAGTTAGTCATCCTTGAGATATTTGATATATAGATATATATATCTTCTTTCAGTTGATTATCCAGCTATTTTGGTAATTTTCAATTTAGAGGAAGAAAAAATTTTGAGAGTCAAGGTAGTTTTTTCACAAGGAATTTCTTGAATTATGCAAATGGGATTTTTTGTCACTAGGCCGCAAGAAATTTTTCTAGTGACTATGGGCTAGGTAGGATCTTTTTATGCAACTGAATGATGAACACTGTCTTTTTATGATCTTTTCATAGTTTCCATTAAATCTACCAGTTTCGGAGATATTTGTAAAATCATCTGTAGAAAATGTTTCGACTTATCCCCTTTAACTAGAGAATACATTCCTATAAGCCCGAAGAGGACTGAAAGAACTCATCGCTTGTTTCTTTATTAATGTTTGTTTTCATTCAACTGGTTGAAAAAATGAAATTTAAAGCTGTTTGAAGATGTAAAAATAAATGAATGAATATGTTAAAATTCTCTTTGATTGCATTCCTAAATTAATGAATAATTCATTACCCTGTGCCGCAAGTTGTATGTGAGAACGAGGTTTCTTGCAAATGAGTTAGCGAAAGCCTGATAAAAGTCGAGCACTTCCAGTAGTCTATCTCGTTTGATGGTGTGAAGATCACAGTATGTTAACGCACGAACATTTGCTGCACTCTGGCCTACTGCCGAATCTTTCCAAAAACTGTCACCGAATACGTCCCCTTTGCCGAGGATTGCAACTACTTCGTCGTCCTGGATGACCTCAAGGCTACCCGTGACGATAAAGCAGAGTGAGTCGATTGACTCACCTGTGTGGTACAGCAAGTCTCCCGGCGCACTATGCGACATCGTAAAGTGCATTGCCAGAGCTCGTAGACAACCATCCGAGGCCAGTCTGAAAAATGGATTAAGAGGAATTATGCAGACAGTCGTAAAACTGTAGTTTGAACATCCGAGGAAAAAAAATGAAGAAATAGTTTCATTTTTTCAGAAGAAAAACTGCAATTAAAATTCAATTAAAGTTCTGTGGAAACTTTGATTAACAAATTTATTTGGTTCTCGTTGAGGATTTGTTAGCTTGCAACTAAATTATCTTTACGGCATTGTTGAAAGTTTGCTGCCTGCGAGTAATGACACAAGTTTTGTCTTTCAAATCCTCAAATTCGATGCAATTAAGAGCACTTGAGGTATCACTATTATGTAGTATCCCTGGTAATGACTTCCCATTATTTCCGATTATTTCTCATTGCAAAAAAATAAGTAGATGTAATAAGGTTTGTGTCAATTCCTTTTATATTCCGATTAGCTCTGAGCTCGGATTGAAAAGTTAGGATTGAAATGATAATGAAAACTAATGAGAACTAATGAGGAGATGGATGGAATACTGTTCCATTCCGATTATTTCCGGAAAAAGTGAATATGTGACTTGACCAATGAGAAGATAAAGGAACTAAACGGTAAGTGAATGCTATTCTCTTTATTTTCAATAGGAAGTGGTAGGTGTGGATTCCAAGATCTAAAAAGTAATGGGAATTGATAGGAATTGCCGGAATGAAAAAAATAATGAGAACTAGTGGGAACTAATGAGAAAACGGCACTGGAGGTGCCTTTTTCAATCAGTTTCCGATTTGTAAGTGAAATTCATCGTAACTTGGGGACATGCAAGAACTAGAAGGTTCCCGACAGCTATCCCTTCAGTGTCCGATAAGCAACAAGTTTCAGAATTTTTAATACAAATAATAGCACAACATAATTTTACTTAATACATATCTGTGGTTCCCAGTGAATCGTATGGACTTTCGGGATGGAAAAAACGGGAATCAATGAAAGTGGCTAAAGAAATTCAAAGTCGATTTTTTCTCTCTCCGGATGTTTCTAGGCGACATTACCTGTCGAGGCGACATACGGTATAGATCGTCTGGGCGAGCGCGTACTTCATATTACTGTGGGAGCTCGCCCCCATGCTACGGGGGGAGTTCGCCCCCCAGCGTGCAAGCAAGTCTGTGGGCGAGGTTATCAATTTTTTAGTTTGCCAGCGATATCTCCAAAACTAAGAGAGAGAGCGATTTTTCGTTAAAAAATTGGGGGGGGGGGAGTATAAATTCTCAACATATTTATGTACACCCTACCCCCCTTTCAGCCACCATTTTTGTGTTTTTCAGCGATAGCTCGAAAACTAAGGGAGATAGCGCTTTTTCGTTAAAACATTGGAAGATTAGAAAGGGGGGAGGCGGTCATCGGGGATTTATACATCGAGATTGCCCCCCACGCCCCCAATTAACGCAAGCTCGCCCCCATGCGTTCCAGGGAGCGAAGTTCGACACAAACAAAGGAGCTCGCCCCGACGCGTCTGGGCAAGCGAAGTTCGACATATGCGGGGGAGTTCGCCCACAGAATGTCGCCCCGATAGGCAAAGTTGCCCAACCAGGAAAAATTCCTACTAGGGTAGTACGCGGAGAACAAAATACGAGGAAAACTACCGTACTAGCACGGTAAAATGGGTTCATTTGGCCGGACCTGGACAAATTCACGTGCCTGCACCGTAAATTTCACTGTAAAATACAGGAATTTTTCATGGCAAGTCAGAGACAAATTTCTGTAGCGTACGATAAAAATTCCTGTGCTGAGACGTGATTTTTTCCCGGTCCGTCCAAAGTTGTCGAGTTTTTTCCTAAATTAAAATTTTCTCGTCTTGAAAAATTGATGAAATGGGTGGTCTAGAGTATTTGAGAGCTGATTGGTTGAGGAGGAAATGAAAGATGTTTATCAAATTTTAGTGGTGTTAGATTTCCAAGAATTCGAACGAGACAATTTAATTTCTGACAAAAAATGTCGACTGACATTTCCCTTTGAAATTGTTTATTAATGACATGATTGCGGTATTAGTGAAGATTCTTTAACTAATTTTTTTAATATTTTAGAAATCGAAATTGGAAATTATTTGAAAAACATCTCAATAAATTAGAAAAAGGAGTTCTTCTAGAGAAATATATAAAAGATGTTCACTGGACTTCTGCTGGAAATTCCGTTACTTTTGTGGCAATTCTTTTGGGAAATTTGCAGCTTGACTACTCTCCTTTTCAGTAGGGTCCAATAGAAATTAATTTGGAAAGAAAAATCATTAGTAGTCTATTTTTTTGTACAATTTTGGATATTAGGACATTTTTTATCTTATTCCTATTTTCTTTTATTGGACAAATCAACGAAAAAATTGAAACATTTAAGCCGAAGAAGTGCTGCAGACAACGCCTCAATAGAATGAGTGGTAGTATATAATAATCGAACTCATGATTTTTTCCATGAAATATTCTTCACCAAAAATTTCTGGTGAAAAAAAAACCATTAGAGAAGCTGCGGAATCTTCCTATCGAATTCGAGTATAGAGGGGCGAGCTCCTTTGTTTGTGTTGAACTTCGCGCCCTGGAACGCATGGGGGCGAGCTTGCGTTAATTGGGGGCGTAGGGGGGGGGGGATCTCGATGTATAAATCCCCGATGACCGCCCCCCCACTCTAACCGCCCAATTTTTCAATGAAAAATCGCTATCTCTCTTAGTTTTGGAGATATCGCTGACAAACTAAAAAATTGACAAGCTCGCCCACAGACTTGCCTGCACGCTGGGAGGCGAGCTCCCACCGTAACATGGGGGCGAGCTCCCACAGTAACATGAGGTACGCGCTCGCCCAGACGATCTATACCGTATGTCGCCTCGACAGGTAATGTCGCCTAGAAACATCCGGGGCGAGAGACAATCGACTTTGAATTTCTTTAGCCACTTCCATTGATCCTCGTTTTTTTCCATCCCGAAAGTCCATACGATTCACTGGGAACCACAGGTATCTATCAAGTAAAATTATGTTGTGTTATTATTTGTATTAAAAATTCTGAAACTGGTTGCTTATCTGGCACTGAAGGGATAGCTGTCGGGAACCTTCTAGTTCTTTCATGTCCCCAAGTTACGACGAATTTCACTTACAAATCGGAAACTGATTGAAAAAGGCACCTCCAGTGCCATTTTCTCATTAGTTCCCACTAGTTCTCATTACTTTTTTCACTCCGGCAATTCCTATTAATTCCCATTACTTTTTAGGTCTTGGAATCCACACCCACCACTTCCTATTGAAAATAAACAGAATATCATTCACTTACCGTTTAGTTCCTTTATCTTCTCAATGGTCAAGTCACATATTCACTTTTTCCGGAAATAATCGGAATGGAACAGTATTCCATCCATCTCCTCATTAGTTCTCATTAGTTTTCATTATCATTTCAATCCTAACTTTTCAATCCGAGCTCAGCGCTAATCGGAATATAAAAGGAATTGACACAAACCTCATTATATCTACTTATTTTTTTGCAATAAGGAATAATCGGAAATAATCGGAAGTCATTACCTGGGATAGTATTTGAAATATTTTGTGCCAGATGAATCAATTGTTGACCCTGATCCCTTCAAAAATTATTGGCGGTAGATGGTTGTTTATTCTGTGATAGTTATATGAAAAACAGTTTTCTGAATTTTTTCATATTCTTTAGATAACTGACTGCTGAGATATGATTTTACGAATTATTATTATTTCTTACTACAACACTCTGTTGATCTTTACACAAGTTTTTAAGGGAGGATCTCTCTGAAATTTCAAAGTCTATGGTACCTCAATGGATCTATCGAGCGACTTTTAGGATCCGTGTCTAAAAAACTTCCGTTGCAACAACTTCGTCAAAAAAACTTGGTTATTAAATTTGGTCAAAACAACTTGGTAAAAAAAATTGAAGAGAAAAAAATTCGAACAACCTGAACTTCGAAAAACTTGAAAAAAACTTTTATACTTTTAACGTAGAAAGAAAATTGCGAAAAAAAGTCCTGGTCTTTCCTTCTTTCTTGAATTTCCTGGAAACTCCTTGCATTCCCTGAATTTCCTGGACACTCGTTGAATTCTCTCGAATTTTCTAGAAATTCCTTGAATTCCCTCGAATTTTCTAGAAACTCCCTGAATTTCCTCGAAATTTCTAGAAACTCTTTGAAGTTTTTCGAAATTTCAAGAAACTTGTCGAATTACGTCGAAATGTCTAGAATTTTCTAGACTTCCGATAGATGGGATTGTACATAAGGACCGTTTCCCAAAATGACCCTCCATATTAAAACCATAGAGGTATCCACGTCAAAATTACGTTTCGAAACGTAATCCGCGAGTGAAATAAAATTCAATAAAAAGCGTAAGTCGGAACTGCAATTGTACGAATCGCCACGTAAATTCTACTATTTTTGCTTCCGAAGGGAAGCATTGTTTTTGGTCGATTTTTCGATTTTCTAATTTTGATTGCAAATGGTCCAAGACATCATGAAACGTGAAGAAATGATGTTTTTAAGGTCATGTCTGTATGTGTGTATGTGCAAATTCGCGTTTTTCGGGTTTTATTTTTAGAAAATTGAACATAAATACGGTGAAATTCGGAGCTAAAAATCTGAAATTTTGTGTCAGGATAGCCATCAATGAGCCCCATTATGGTGCTTCATTTCAGCTCGATCGGTCCAGTAGTTCTCGAGATATAACCACTTGTTTCTATTTCGTTTTTGATCTATATCTCGCCAACCACTGCACCGATTTCATTTTTTTTGTCTTCAAAATATTCGTCTCAATGCCTTCTATCTAAGCCACTCATAGCATATATATTACTCATACAGAGTTTAGAGATATAGCCGTTTATTCGTTTTTCCACCGAAAACCTTGTACGCACAATAACTCAATGAAAAAAAGAGATAGCGACTTGAAATTTTGTACGCTGCTAGCATTTGTGATATAAACGGTTCGTATTTTAGATGGGGAAAATCGGCCAAGTGGTTCGCGAGATATTCAACTTTTAGTGACCATCTATTTTGTCAAATATCTCGGTAA